GGAGTCAGGAGCTTTTTCTGGGTCTCCCATGTGGGTGCAGGGTGCCAAGGCTTTGGGCCGTCCTCCACTGATCTCCCAGGCCACAAGAAGGAAACTGGATGGGAAGTGGAGTAGCTGGGACATGAACCAGTGCCCCTCTAGGAAGCTGGCACTTTAAGGTGGAGGATTAGCCAGTTGAGCCACAGCACCAGGCCCAGAACCAAATTCTTTGATTCATCAGCTGCTGGCTCCCAGCCTGGGCATTAGCAGGCAGGTGGTAGGAAGAGCGGAGCTGAATGGGGACCCAGGACCCCAATAGGAGATGTAGGTGTCCCAAATCTCCCCCAAGCTCTGAGAAGTTCCCAGTTCTGAGAGAGCTCCTGCATGACAGTTGAGCAGTTCTCTTCATTCAGAGCAGAGACAGAGTTACCAAGCAGGGGGGACTGAGAATTTAAAGGGCAGGAAGCGCATCACTCAAGCAACCATAGTGGCAAGCCCTCAACTAGGAGGGAGGGAAAGCCGAGGACCTCCACACCCAGCCACAGACGTCTCCAAGGAAGCCACATCCGGCATGGTGAAGCTGCTGCCTTTATTGCCCAGGCTTCTCGAGCCAGTGTGGACAGGAGGAGGACACCAGGACAGGTAGGGATGTGGATGGCCCCTCCCTCCTGGCCTGGCACTCCAAGACTTCTTGGGACTCTCCTGCCCCTTGGGCAAGCCCCGCCCTCTCCATCAGCTCCCTCACTCCAATTTCCCCAGCACTTTGGGCCCAGGACTGACCAGCAGGCAGGCACTGCCCCCCCGGACCCCCACAGGGTTTTCCAAGCCCAGAAGGAGCGCCTGGTCCTGAGACCGCCATGTCATCCCAACAGAAGCCGACCCCTCCCAGCAGGGTAGATCTCACACGAAGAAGACTACGTGAGAGCCCCAGGCCTCCTCGCAGGAAGGGTGTGGACCTTGTGACACAAGGCGATGCCCAGGGCAGGCAGGCAAGTGGCCTGGGGACCCAGGGCTTCGGGGTCACTTCTTCTTGGCTCGGTCTGCAGCGTCCAGGGCAGCCATGTTGCGGGAGGCCGTGACCAAATGGATGACACTGATGAGGGACTTGAGCAGGGCCACGGGGGCTGTGATCCACAGGCCCACGCGGAAGAGCCCCACAGAGCCGACTGCGGGGGCCGGGAGGAGGAGAGAAGGGGGTCAGGGGAGGGGGCACGGAGCCCTCAGCTGGGCAGGCAGGTGCACCCCCCTCGCTTCCCTCCGTGTACCTAAGGGTCCCTCGGAGAAGTGGAACAAGTAGAGCAGGCAGTAGAAGAGCTCGTTTCCAGCGCACATGGTGAACAGGGCAGGCTGCACGCAGAGGGGAAGCGCAGTGGGCCACGTGCCACCTGCCCACTCCCACCATCATCCCCTCCCGCACCAAGTGGGGGTGTGTATTGGCTGCCCTCACTCCCAGAAACACTTTCTGGTCCCCCTCCTCCCTTCCACTCCCAGCCACTCAGCTCCTTCAGCCAGGGTGCACCAGGGCCTCCCCTGCCACCCCGGAGGCTGGCAGAGTCTGGGCTGGTCCTTATCAGCTGCTGTGCCCTCCCCCTCTGATCTTGGACCTCCGGGAGTGGGGGTTGGGGAAGCTGCTGAGGGATGGAGGGCCAGGCTCACCCTGGAGGTGTAGTAGATCCGTAGCACTGGATTCCCTGACAGGTCAATCATCTTGTGACTCTCGCTGCCCCGGACCACAGAACTGGGGGAGCAAATGGGAGCGGGGAGAGGCGACCCAATGAGCTACTTGATTCAGCACCAGTGCATACCTGACCCCTCATAAATCCACGTGACAAGGGTTGGGGTCACCCTGCCTATACAGATAAGGATCAGGGGCATGGCTACATAATGCCCCAATGCCCCACAAGTCCGGATGGGGGGGGGGGGATGAGTCAGGGGACAGACTCCACATTGAGAAACTTCCTGTGGGACAGAGGTCTGCTCTAGTCACCAAGATGCGCCTTGGAACGGTTGCACCCATCCTGGAGACACACCTCAGTACCCAGGTCTTGGTCTTGGCCAGTACCATGGCATAAATGGGCTAAGCTGCCACTTGCAGTGTCCACCTTGCATATTGGTACCAATTCAAGTCCTGGCTGCTCCACTTCCCATCAGCTCCCTCCCTGTGGCCTGGGAAAGCAGCAGAGGATGGCCCAAGTGGTTGGGACCCTGCACCCATGTTGGAGACCCAGAAGATGCTCTTAGCTGCTGGCTGTGATTGGCTCAGCTCTGGCCATTGTGGTTAGTGGACAGTCAATCAGCAGACAGAATCTCTGTCTCCTTCTCGCTATGTAACTCTGCCTTTTGAATAAAAATGCATACATCTTAAAAAAAAAAAAAAAACAGCTTCCAGGACCCTTTGCCTGAGCTTCCACTGAGCTTCTCCAGTGATGTGTGTCCTGGGACCTGCTGAACCCAACTGTGAACTTGACTGTTGAGGGGTGATCCTGTGGGGCCCCAGGCTCCCCAGCAAAGCAGAGCTAAGGTGGAGACCCCCTCCCAGGACACTTCAGGTACCATCCCCAGGGTGGGATCGGCCACCAGTGCCCGTGTCCCTGCACCCAGCCCCAGCAGACCTGTGCAGGTGCAGCCAGTGACTGGCCACATCCAGGCTCATGCTGAGCTGGAAGAGGAGCGTGGCACGAGGGTAGAGCAGGGCCAGGTTGACCAGCAGACACATAGTGGCACAGCGGTCGGTCAGCATGTCCAGCATGGCTCCAAACCGGGTTCCTGGAAATGGGGTCAGGGGTGGGGTGCACGGGGAGGAGGCTGTTAGGTGGGGCGGCACTGCTTGGGAGGGGAGTGACAGGTGCCCGTGTCAGGTGGGCATCTGTGATGCTAGAAAGTGGAACACAGGCCACTCTGGGTGGGCTGTGGGGTCACCAAAACCTGAAACAGAGGCAGGGCCCAGCAAACCCAGGTCCAAGGCTCTCCCCTGACCCCGCCCCCCCCCCAGGCAAGCCAGGGGAGCAGGGACATCCCAGCGGGACAGGCTACAGGAAAACAGCTGGAAGCACCCTTCCCCACCTGCCTTCCATCTCCCTCCTCCTTCCTGGCAGGCACCTGGAGGCCCACGATTGCCAGCACCTCCACAGCCACATCTTGGCTGGCTCTGACACCACCATCAGCAGCAGTAAACTTAGCAGGGGTCCCAAGAGCCAGCTTAGAGCCCTCTGACCCCAAACTTTCCCCACCCCACGTCCTCAGCCGGGCCAGGGAGAGGGGCAGAGACTCGAAGGGGGTGTCCGTCACCTTGGTTAAGGGCTCGGGCGGCGTGTCCATCAAAAGCATCCAGCAGCCCGCTGAGCAGGTAGAAAGAGGAGGCCGTGAGTGGGCAAGAGGGCATGAAGTAGAAGGCGATGATGGCGAAGACGATCCGGGCATAACCTTGGAAGGGGACGGTGGGGAGAGACAGGGCGGCATGTGGACGCCTGGTTCAAACCCCACCCCGCCCCGGCCGCTGTGGCCCTCGTATCCGGCCTGGGTCATGGGCAGCACTCACCGATGAGGTTGGGCACGAACAGGAAGATGTTTTCCTCCGCCATGGTGGCGGTCCCCTCGTGGCCCAGGGCGAGCTCCGGAGGTACTGCGTTGTCCCGGCCTCCGCCGCCCTGGACCCCGCTGCCCCCGGCCCGGCTCGTGGGTTGCAGGAGCAGGATTCGACCCAGCTGTACGCGAGGTGCCCTGGCAATGCACAAGCCCGCACCTCCCGTCAGGCGTCCAGCAGCGGTCGCGGTCAGCAGGTGTGTTGTCCCGGATGCTGCTCTCCCGGAGAGCTTCTGGGAGCCTGCCTCTACGGGCGCTAGACGTCAACGATTAGGATGTAAGAGGGAGGAGGAAAAAAAAAAAAAAATCTTTAAATAGCTGCTGCCCCTTTAAAGACCTGCCCGCTTCCTTTCCCTCTCTTCCCTCCGCCTCTTTCCATCGGATCGTACCAAAGCACAGGCGGGGGGGAGGAGAGAAGGAGCAAAGGACCGTCGGCGCAAGCCAAAGCAAGAAGCTGAAAACGGAAGAACAGAAAAAGAAACAGGAGACCTAAATGAACTTGTCTGTCGTGGCGGAGGAGATGACCTGCTGGAGGCCGAGAGGAGGCGGTGAGACCCCGCCCCTCCGGGTCTTTGCATCCCCGAGGGGTCCGGGCACTTAGTACAGTCCGCATTTTGGTCCCCGCCGGCCCCCTCCGCTCCCGCAGGCTCCGGGCTGCCGAGTGGCGGCTAGAGCGGCCCGGGGGCAGGTGGATTTCTTAGGACACCCTAGCGGTGGGAGGCTTAGGTGCCAGGCTCCGCCCTACTTCATCTCCCCCAAACTCCCCAAGCCCCCGGCCCTGAGGCCTCCGCCCCCAGGAGGGACCTGAGGGGTGTGGAGGGGCGAACGGGGCGTGCTCGGGAGATTCTCTCGGCCTTGGTTCTAGAACCTTCATCTCCTAGCAGCCAGGCTGCGGAACCCCTGCCCACACTGAGGTTTTTATAGCAACGGGTAGCAGCACCTCCCGGGCTCCCCTCTCTCCAGCCTTCCTCCCTGGTTCCTCCTCCCCTGCCCTTCCCCTGCGACCTTCACAGGGTCCCCTTGGACCTCCCCGTCTCCCCGCCTGCTCCTCTGGCCGAATACCCCCAAGATTTCAACCCATCTGCCAGGTCCGGGGCGGCAGGGCACAGCTGCCTGGCCTGGGGAAGGACCTTGGGAGGGAAGAAGGACCAAAGGGGGCAAAATGGGGGGAGTGCTGTGGGGGACCCTTCAGAACCGGCCCCCAGCCCCCCCAAAACAGAACCCTATACCATTTCTTCCTCTTTTTTCAGAGACATGATACCATGCAGTGTTTTTTGGAAAAGCCCCCTTAACTCTGGGCTTGGGGGATGGTGATGGGTTAGGGTTGGATGGGTGAGAAGCTGGTGGAGCGCTTTCTTTTTTTCTTTTTTCTTTTTTTTTTTTTTTTTTTAATTGGTGGAGCGCTTTCTCAGCCCAACCCAGGCCTTTGTGTTCTCAGGGGATGGCATCCACTCCTGCCAAGCATGAGGAGGCCAAGGACAGCCGGCTGTGTCAAGCTGCAGCCTCCCCGAGTGAGGGGCCGGTGAGCTAAGGGGCTGGGATGTGTGTGTGGAGATGGGAGGCAGGTCAGAGCCCTCAGCCCCCAGCCTCTTGTGTCATCCCGAAGCCGGTGGGCCCAGATCTGCAGCCCACAGCACCAGGCTGTGAGGCCTCTCCACCCAGGGCCGGCCTCGCCCTCCCGTAGCCTCCAGTCCAGCCCGTGAGCACCTGCACTCCACACAGGCCTCCGTGCTGAGCCCTCGGAATTCTTTTTTTTTTTTCCAGAAGTTTTCATTACCTCACTCTGAGGAGTTCCTGAGCCGGATCAGCGCAGAGCTCACGGATGAGGCCTTGTTTATAGCTTGCTGCCACATGACCCCAGGGCCCCCCAAGGAAAAGCAAACCAAAGACCAGGGGACACAGATCTCACAGCATGGTGACCCCCCTACCTCGGAAAGGCCGTGCCTCGTCTGCCCGCGGACCCCTTCCCCCTCAGAGCGGAGCTCTCTGCGATGCACTTTGGAGTTTTAATGTTTATGTACTTGTTAGGGTAGAGAGAGCTCTCCCATCTGCTTGGTCCACGTCCCCAGATGCCCACAGCAGGCAGGTCTGGACCAGGCAAGAAGCCAAGGCACTCAATCTGGGTGTACCACCTCCACCCCTGGGGCGGCAGGGTGGCAGGGACTCCAAGTACTGGAACCTTCTCCTCTTGCCTCCCAGAGGGTGCCTTAGCAGGAAGCTGGGATGGGAAGCAGAGCCAGGACTCGAACCCAGGCCTTCTGATATAAGGTGCAGGCCTCCCCAATGGTATCTTATGTGCTGTGCCAGATGCTGTCCCCTGTTCTAGGATTCTGTGCCCATTTTCCCACCTCAGTCAGCCCTGAAACCCAGCTAGCACACCCCTCAGCTCCCTCTCTCTTTGGCCCCCTGGAATGGCCGTCCTCTGACTGGGCCTCCCCTTGCAGTGTTCTGCACAAAGACCAGAGGTACAGACACCCGGTGAGTGAGGCTGCTGCGGGGGCAGAGGACTGAGCGGGACAGAGCCAGGGCCTGGCAGCTCTGCCACCCTCAGGCCTCCTCTCCGCTCCTGTCAGCTCTCTCTCTTTTCTCCTCTTAGATCGGACAGGAACCGGACCCGCAACAAAGTACACCTGCTGCCATCCCCTCGTGCTAAGGTAGGGGTGGGGGCAGGGCTGTCGGGATGAGACTGGCTGGGCCCAAGCAGGTTAGCGCATGCTCCGTGCCAGTGTCTGTCCCAAAGAGCTTGGAGCACAGGAACACATGATGCTTCTGCTCCCTGAGGAATACATGGTTTTGTGTGGAGAGGCAAGTGGATGGCCAGGGACAGACAACACCCCATGGAATAAATGCTTGTAATAGATCTGGGAGTAAGAGTGCTTATCCCAGTGTCCATTGGAGAAACCAGGAAAGCTTCCTGGAGGTGGCTTCCCCATAGGGAATTTTCCAGGGGGAAATAAAAACACGAGGGTTGGTGGGAATTGCATGAGCAAAGGCCCAGGCCTCAGCCTTGGTGGTGTGTCCCTGAGGAGCTGCTGGGAAACAAAGTATCTGGGATTCTGCAATCAGTGCTCCAGGGTGGGATACCGGCATACCAGGTGGCAGTTTGGCCCGCTGTGCTACAGTGCTAGCCCCAGGTTGGAGTTTGAGGTCAGTCCTAGTCATGGTCGGTAGGCAGCATGGAGCTGGGGGCAGGAGGGCCAGTTAGGAATTATTCTGCAGAGGCCAAGCTAGAGGTGGTTAAGGGCCTGACGTGCCGTAGCAACAGTAGAGACTGGGGGAGGGAGGCTTGTATAGGTAAGAAGTAAAGACAGGAGAATGAATGAGTTTGGTTATTAATCAGAAACAGCAGGGGCCGCAGGGAAGGAAGCAGGTAACTACTAGATTTCTGACCCAGGTAACCTCATTGTTAGTGTGATGTTAGTGTCCCGAGCTCTTCCATGGCTTCCCATTCCAGAGTCAGGGCAAGGGTTGAGGCGCTGTACAGCCCTGAGAGTGATTTCTCTATACCTGCCCGCCTCCCTGACCCCAGGCCCATGGCCCTGCCCCTGTTCTCTGTGCTGACCAGGCCAGCCTCCCCTTCCTTCCTGGAGCATGCACAAGTCATGTCCCCTGCTTTAGGGAGTACTAACTTTGAGGCTATCCTGGAAACTTGATGGAAACAAGGGCTGAGGGTCAAGTTTGGCCTGGAAGTCACCAGGAGGGAGGGGGCAGCTGGAGGGCAGCACTGTCCTGGGAGGGAGCGGATGGAGTGAGGGGGCAGGAGGCCATGAAGCAGGAGCCCTGGGGCACCACGTGTGGTGGTAGTGAGAGCTCACAGAGAAGACAGAGAAGAAACTGACAGCCTGGGTCTGTCATCCCAAGGAACCTTGCCCTCTGCCCCCTCGGGTCTCGGGAAGCACCCCTGGGACTTGCACAGCACCACAGCTAGCCAGGAATGTTGAATTGGTGAGGGGTGGATGGGGTGCTTGGTAAAAGCTTGAGTAAAATTCCCTGCACACTTATTGAGCACCAACTATGTGCTTTGGGGGCAGCATTTCAGTGGGGTGCAAGATCAGAGTCCAGGCTCTTGGAAAGGGCTCAGCGTGGGATGGGGGATACGATGGGAGAGTAGGTGCAGAGTAGATGGGCAGATGAGTGGACAGACAAGGGGTGGATAGCTGCTGGCCCCGCGGGGCGAGTGGCTGCATCAGGGGGTGAAGGACAGGTTGATGACAGGTGGTGAATGGAGGACTTACTCTCTTCCAGGGAGCTCTTGCTACCAGCTTGGCAGCCGCAAGATGAGTCCCACACTGCTGCCCTCCCATCCCCTTCCCCCTCCCATCCCCTTCCCCCCATCATCCCCCCCGCCAGACCCTGCCTCCAAGTTTCCCTTTGCAACTCTTGATTTGAGAGGGACCCCTGATGGTGAACAGCCCTCCTGAAGCCTGGCCGACTGTTACGGAATCATCAGACAGCTTGTCACTCACCTCACCACCCTCAGCCAGGACCCTGCCAGGAAGAGGAGGTTTTTAATAAAGAGACTGCCCCTCCCTCCCTGTGGTTCCAGAGTGCACCAGCGCAGCTCTGCTGGGGGGCGGGTGTGGAAGTGGGGCAGGACACAAAGCCCCAGAGTGGGTTGCAGAGCAAGGGCATGCTGTCTCGAAGGTCTGGCCTAGGCCACCCACCAGGGCTCACTTTTGCCTGGCAGGAGCCTTCTCTGCCACCACCATAGGGACTGGGGATCCAGAGTTAAACAGGGCCTGAAGGGACGCATTGCATCCCACACACAGATGCCTTTGCTTTTTTTTTTTTTTTAAGATTTATTTTCACTTGAAAGATGGTGTCACAGATACCTGGCAAGATGGAGAAAGTGAGATCTTCATCCACTGCTTTACTCCCTAAATGGCTGTAGGGCGGGACTGAGCCACTGTGAAGACAGGCGCTGTCAGGAAAGTGGGAGTCATACATTGTCCCCCGGGAACGTGGGAGGGTTCAGAAACAGTGTGGCAGAGTGCTCAGTGCATTGCCTGACTCACAACTTCCAGTTACTGTCAAGGTCAGCTAGCCTCATGTTCTACAATTCATTTTCCTTTTGAGTATTTTAGTGTCCTTCTGGGTGTCCTAAAACCATTGAATCATATTTAGATATAAAATTTTAATTAAGTAAAATTCAGTTAATTTAGAAAAGGACTCAGGAAAACAATATAAATTCCTTATAATGCTGAAAAGTACCAAGAGCAGAAAAAGACACACAGTGAACTCACACCTGGGAGCCATGTGACAACAGGAAGCTTTAAAATGTCCCTCCCCCCCCCCCAAAGATTGGGGGTATAAAGGAATGGTGCGCATGGGGCTGCTGGTAAAGCTGCTGACTGTGACACTCCGACCATGGTTGCATCCCACATGGCTGCCAGTTCGAGTCCTCACTGCTCCATTTCTGACCCACTCCCTGCTAAAGCATTGCCTGGAAAAGCACTGGAGGATGGTCTAAGTGCTTGGGTCCCTGCATCCACACGGAGAGACCCAGAAGAAGCTCTGGGCTCCTGGATTAAGGCAGGTCTCGCTTCAGCCATTTCTGCCATTTGGGGAGTGAACTAGCAGATGGAAGATCAATCTCTCTTTCTCCCTCTGTAACTCCGCCTTTCAAATCAAATAATCTTTAAAAAGGTGATACACTTGGATAGCAAAGGTTGTCAGAAGTCAACTTTTAACTCAACTGGTCATGATGCAACTCTTGCCAAACAGTGCTGGCAGGGGATCAGCTGCTGCCCACTGTTAGTAGCCAGAGGAGACAGCCCAGCAAGATCAAGGCCCCTGGTTCCGGCCAGCCCTCCAGCAAGGCTGAGCCTAGAACCCAGGGCATGGCCTCCTGCTCCAACTGCATCTGTCTTTCTGACCCCTTCTCCTATCCCAGCACCTCCCACACCCCAGCAGCCCAGTTACAAGTGATGACTTCCTTTTTATTGCTGAAAACCAAAAATCCAGAAGCAAAGATGAAAAAAATGGGGGGGTAGGGGGTTGAGGAAACAGCAGGAAGGGGGCAGGGCCTTGGCTCCGCTTGCCCTCCCCCTCTCATCTTCCAGGCATCCGGATGGGGCCAGGACAGCTGGGGAGAGGAGGGGCCTGCAGGACCAAAGGGACTGTAGGGGCTGTCATGGGCAGTCCTGGAGGGGCGCAGGGACCCCAAGAGCTGCAGGGGAGGGGGGCTGAGTTCCCCTCCTGGGATCCAAAAGCCAGTAGGGTGTGGGGGGGCAGGCCCCCCTGTTTGGCAACTGACAAGAGGCGGCTCTGGGTGGCAGGCTGCTGGTTTATCAACCGTGGGGTCTCCAGGGCCAGGAAAGCCCCCTTGCGGGATGGGCAGACTATGTACACAGCAGGTAGGAGGGCAGACCCTCCCCCCCACCGCCCCAATAAAGGAGGGGAGGGGGCATTCCAGGTCCTGCAGCCTCAGTCCTGGTTCAGATGGAGACCTCGTATTCCCGTGTATCCTGCGGACAAGAGGGAAGGATGAGCTGTTGGAATTGGACAGGTGAGAGGGACAGCAAGCAGCAGCAGTGGAAGGCGCTGTCCACGGGGAGAAAGGAGCCTAGGTTTGCAATGTGACCTTGATCCCTGGGATTTGGGGGGAGGGTCACATGATAGGACTGAATGTAGCCAATGATGAGTTTAATCCTGCAGTGTCAAGAGAATGACTTCAACACTGAAGCGCCTATATTGTCTCCATAGACTGCAAGATCTGATAAGTTTGGTCTAAGTTCCCATTGTGGCTAGAACCACATCCTGTTCACGGTCCCTCCGCCATCACCCCTACTCCAGATCTCTCATTCGCCATAATCCTCACCACTCCATTTTGTAGTTCATGTGGCTGCCTCTGTTAGCAGCCAAGTTTGAAATTCCCATGACAGTGGTGATTACAGGGACCTTGAGAGAAGCTGAGGGGGAGCCAGGGGGAAGGGGTGGGGTGCTGGAGCGTAGGGGCCAGGGGGTACTCACCCCGGCTTCATACAGCGGGTTGCTGAAGTCTGACTCCACGGTAATGGGGCTGTAGGAATGGGAACCCGAGAAGCCGAAGAGGGATTTTCCCTGCAACCTGAGAGAGGGAGGAGCAAGAGGGGCACATTAGCAGGTGAGCTCGAGCTGTCCCCGACCGACCGAGGCAGGCAGGTGAGCCAGGTGCCTGGCCAGCAGATGCTCACATGAAACACTTACTTGGTGTAGTAGACATAAACACCACTGCCGAGGACAATGACCAGGCCGAGGGGCAGCAGGATGGCCAGGGCGAGGTTCCCTCCCTCCAGCTGCCGGGAAGGGTCTGTCGTCTGGGTCACTGTGGGAGGACAAGAGGCCCCCATGAGCTGAGGCGGCAGTGTTGACATGGGCGCTGACCTGGGCTTCTCCCAGTTCCTCTTGCCCTGGGCCCTTGGAGCCTGGCCTGCTGCCCCATCTCTGCCTTGTCCTCCCAACCTGGCCAGGCCTGGGTCTCCAGCTGTGGCCCTCACTGACCTTCCAGTTTGCGGTTGTCCAGGAGCTCCTCATAGGTCACTGTGGGGAGAGGAGGGGGAGGGGGACGGGGTCTGAGCCAGGGAGGGAAGGAGACTGGCTGGAGGGCCGGAGCCCAGTGGGGCTAGGCTGGGCAGCCTGCTGCTCTTTTTCTCTGCCTTCCACTTCACCTGGACATTAACTTGGCCATGGTGTCAGGGGGAGAGGAGTGCTCGAGGTCGGGGTCCTGGCTGAGCTGAACCCACTAGGTCTCCAGAATTCATCAGAGACAGGGACACTGAGGCCTGTCCTCAGGGAGGGCAGGGGACTTTTGCAGACTAAGGCCCTCACTGCTCTAATCTTTGCCCTCACAATTCCCCCAGGCCTGTGCACCTGCCCAGGAGGCGGGAGAGTGCGCGTGTCAACCCTGGAGGCCTGGGAGATGCTCACTACCTGACTGTCCCCCACCTGTCACACCCCCCTTTTGTGCATTCCCTCCTCCTACCCACACACCTTTGCAGAGTGGGGGCTGGCTGGTCCACTGGGAGGGGTGGCCGGGCACGCAAGTGATGGTGACTTCACCGATGAGCTCAAAGCCCTCGTAGCAGAAAAAGCGAAGGGACTCGCCAGCCTGGTAGTGGTGTTTGTACAGTGTCTGGTAGCCATTCTCAGGGACCCCGGGGTTCAGGCACGGCTCATATTTCACTGCAGGGAGGGTGCCAGTCACACACCTGCTGCCAACCCCACCCCCACAGAAGCAGCATGTGGCAGTGAGGGTGGTCCCCAGACTCACAGGCGCACTTGGGGACACGGTCGCTCCACTTGGGGGTGCCTGTGTCCCGACTGTAGCAGGTGAGCACAGCCGCCCCCTCCAGACTGTAACCTGGTAGACAGCGGTACTGCACATGGGAGCCCACGGGAAAGCCGGCATCCGAGGTAGTCCGGTGGCCGTTGGTGATCTCGCCTGGGTCGGCACACGTCATGACTGGGGGGACGGGGCAGGAGAGCAAAGTCAGTGGGGGGGACGCGTGCCTTGGGTGGGACCTCAGTGTCAGCAGAGACCTCAGGCCGCCACCTCAGAACAGCTCCTTTGCCTGTGACTCCACAGGAGGAGACAGTGGATTAGGAACCTAAAACTACTTTATGTCCTATCTCAAGCTTCTTTGGGAAGAGAGCGAAATGGGGGTGACCCCTGGTACGGTGCCAGCTGGATCCCAGCACTGCCCCCCAGCACTGCTCTTGTTCACCACACCTAGCCACTTCATTCTCACCGCCTGTCTGGACCTACGCATGTTTCAGTTGAGGAAAACCCCACCGTGGATGCCGGCATCGCAGCCACTGCTCAGAGAGGTTGTGCCAGGTACTCCACTAGGCGTTCATTACACAAGGCCAATGTCACTGGCATCTCCCTTGGGCCCAGGGCTCGGGGCCGTCAGAGGACCAGACATGCCATTCAGCCAGGGCCTGACAGAGCTAGAACCTGCTCTTTGCTCGGGGCCAGCGGACACTTGGGTCTTGACTCAGCCCCTGGCTCAGTTTGTGGCCATGGCAGGTGCCTTTCCAAGCCCCAACTAGCCAGGCCCAGCAAACTCCATGTTCCCAGGGCCTGTGACAACTGGGTCAACTGGGGAATTTTCCTGGGCCCACCCCAAATCTTACATCCTGAAGCTTCTCACCATGGGTCCTGCCATTGCCACTGGGCCCAGGGGCCTTGGGCTCGCATCCTCATGGCAAGCTCCCTGCCCCTTTCTGCTCCTCTAAAAAGGCCAATGCTCCCCACTCCTGTATATGACACCTGCTCTGTGCCAGCTTCTGCCCCCCCAACTCCTGGCACTTCTGCCAGTTCCCACTTACTCTTTATGGCACCAGGCACAGTGCAAAAAGCTTAGCTCTTCTCAATGCCTTATTTCCCACAGCACCCACGAGGGGGTCTGGACCCAGAGATGCTAAGTACCTGGTCTAGGGTTCCCCAGAGGTCCCCACCCAGCAATGGCCCTAGCTGTTTGTCTCTGTCCTTCTCCAGGGTGGTGAGTGGGAGCCCTAAATCTTCTTGACACCCCTAACCCAGCATAGGGTATCAAAGACTGCATTAACACGAACTAAGCTCCCCACAAGCCTAGGGGTTAGTCAGGCGCCACCCCACCACGCCAAGATGCGAACTGGGGGGTTTCAGTGGGAACCGAGACTGGATACAAGCGGGGCCAGAAAGGGGAGGGGCCATGAGATGGTGGGGGCAAGGGAGGGACGCCCAGAGGAAAAAGGGATGAAAGTCAAACAGTGTAAGAGCAAGAGATACAGCCAGGAGGAGATGAAAACGGACCTCAGGAAAGACAGTTTTGGGGCGCTGCGCAAGGGAGTGGTACACGATGGAGGCAAGATCCAGGCAGGATGCAGCATGCAGGAAAGGGTGTGGGCGGGGCCGTGACGAGGGCGTGGCCTGGAAGGGGTGTGGCCACAAGGGGCGGGGCTGGAAGGGCGGGGCCGCGAGGGGGGCTGGGCGGGGCACGGGGAGCAGGGTTGTGAACTGGGTGTGATGGGGCTGGGGATGATGGAGCTGGGTGTGATGGGACCCTACGGGATGGGGTGGGGCTTTCTCACTCTTCTGGCAGGCAGGTGGTGCGGCGCTCCAGGACAGGTCCCACTGGCAGGTGAGAATGTCAGAGCCCAGTAGCTCGTAGCCAGGCTCGCACTGGTAAGTGAGCACCGTGCCCCGGATCAGGTCCCCGTGTGACGCCGTCCTCCAGCCCCACTCCGGAGGTGGCAGCTCGGGGCATGTGTCGTTCCTGGGGACCTCTGCAGCGGTAAGAAGGCAGGTTCAGAGGCTGCCCTGAAGCGTCCTTCCCGCTTCGGGGGGGGCTTCGCCCGGCGCGCCCTCCTGTCGTCTCTGGCCTTTGTCCTTCTGCCTTTCTCCCAGGCCCTATCCCTTGGTACCTTTGAAGTGCAGCACGAAGCCTTGACCCAGGCCTGGATTTGGGGGTCCTGGCGGTGCCTGGAACTGTAGTGTCAGGTCCGGCCCAGAAGAGAGGAGACGGCGGCGCGGCTGAGGGCCCCGCAGCTGAGCCAGCACGCGGGCGCTGGGACCGTCTCCATCGAACAGGGTCAACATATCCCCTTCACGGACGTTCAAGCTGTGGGGAGCGCGGGCACTAGGGTGCGGCACGTTCCCAATCCTGTTCATCAGTAATCCCTCCCACGCTCCAGCCCCACCCCATAACCCCTCTCTAAGCCCACCTGCCCTGTGGCTCTGCCTGTCCCCCCAATGCGCTTATCACTAGCTCCGCCTAACCTCAAATCCTTCCTGGATCACCACAGGATCACAGGATCCCTAGCCCAGCCCAACGCCCAGCTCTCACCAACAATCATAGGCCCAAGCACCTGTTTTGCGGCCACGCCCACTTCTGGTCCTGTCTATTTCCCTCCTACCTAAGCAACCCTGCATTCCATGGGTGCTGGTGTTGGAACAGTTTTGCCCTTAGCTCCAGGAAATTGCTGGGGTCAGGGTCTGCCTCAGATAGCAAGGTAAAACCCCCTTGTTCTTAGTTTAGTACCGCCTACACCTGCCCATCCCCATGAGGCTGTAAATGGCTGCATTTACTTGTCCAGTGTTGCCCAGTAACAGATGCCTGGTAGCTAGGTCTGCCACCCTATCCTGCACCCTCGGTCGCCTCTACATGTACGACAGTCTGTGTGGACACACAGGAGCCAGTCATGCCCGCACCAAGCCCGCACCCACCACACCCATACGTACATCTCCACTTGGAGCAAGATGCGTTTCTCTTCCTGCACATGCAGGCCCCACACGCAGTCCTGGCCAGGGCTGTAACTCTGTGGCCAATCCGGAGAGAGTACCACACCAGCAGCCTCCGACAGCTCTCCTCCGCACATGGCTAGGACACAAGAGGTCACAAGTTCAGGACCCATGAGGGCACACAGTCTCCTGTTTCTCCGCAGTCCTCAGTGTGTGCACCTGCTTCCTGGGCCCTAAGATGCGCATGCTTCTTGCCACATGAGATCTTCCTACGTCCAATCCCCAGCCCTGCCCACTCTCCAGCTCACCTACCCCATCTTATCCCAGACTTAGCCCAATCCTGGCTCTGGATCCCAAAGACGTCTGGGTTTATGACCCCTAAATTCAGCTAAGGAAGCCATCCCTGAGGGGACGGTGCTTCCCAGCCTGGGTTCTTCAGGTCTGGCTTTGAGGGTCTCTTTCCTGAAGACCCTCAGGGTCCTATAGGTTCCCAGCTTGCCACCCCAACGCCAAACTGCAGACAACTCACCCTTGCAGGCCGGCTCTGTGTCGTTCCAGTGTGGCTCCGTGGGGTCCACACACTCAATGGCATTGGGAGGACCTGGGGGATCCAGGGCATAGCCTGGGAGGCAGGTGAAGGTGGCCAGTGCCCCTGGGCGGTACTCAGGATCTGTGGTCGTGACGTTGCCATGGGCCAGGAAGGGGGCAAAACAACGGTCCTCTTCAAAGGCTGTGGAAGGGTCCAGTTAGTATAGGCCTCAGCGGGCTCAAGGTAGGTGCCAGGGTGCCACAGCATGGCTCCTTAAAGTCAAAGTGCTCTGGGGCTTGGCTTACATGTTCCAGCCCATCCAAAACACTCATCTTCCTCATTTGCACCTTTGCCGTTACCTTCCTTGACCCCTTTGGAAGTAAACATGGATGGGCAAGTTCACAGCCAAAAAAAAAAAAAAAGCCACTTCTCCAAGGTCACCCAGCAGGCCACAAGGCTACACCAGATGGCTTGATGTTTCTCAGCCACAAATACTTGGCTGTGGCAATTGCAAAGAGGGGGTGGGGGAGGCAGGCGGAGGGAGGGCAGGGACGACTGTGAAGAACTGGCTTGTGTAGGTGTGTTCTCGCCTCAAAATACAATGAGCATCCGTGCTGTTGCTAGAAGGCAACGCTGAGCTCACGCCAAACGGGGACTGGGCTTGCGCTTCAGCCCGAGCCAGCGAAGCGAGCACACGTAGGTAGTCGATTTACAGCAAAAGCACCTGCCAGGGAGGATACGGCCAAGAAGGAACCGGAAGTTCCAAGAGTAGGCTGGCCTCCAGGGCTGTGGGGCCAGGCCTCATGACCAGGCACTGTCCCCAAAGATCAGTGCTCCAGCGTGTCCACACCCTCACGGTCTATCGGGCAATTTTGGTGGAAACTGCTGCCCCACTTCCCTGCTACTTAACCCAAGCAGGTGTTGGGTGTAAACCCCACCTATCCATCAGGGCACAGTGCCAATTCCGTGGCTCCCATGAATCATTCCAGGAATTAGCTTCTCGCATCTCAGAGCATCTTTCTCTCTCACTGTCCATACAAACCAGTCAGAGTGAAGTTCTGTTTCTGGAACACACGTGGCGTTCTGCTGCCTGCACACTGGGATACTCTCTGTTTGTCTCTTTGAAACTACTCTCTTCCCTTTAATGTCAAGTTCAGATGTCTCTTCCCCCATGGTCATCCTTCTATCCAGCCTCCACCTCCCCTCTTGTTTTCATTTCAGAAAGCATACCTTCCCGACTCCCAGTTCCCCAGCTTGAGCCGGTGCCAATGGTGCCAACGGGGCACACGGCACAGGCCTGCCCTCCCTTTCTCCCCCTCCCCCTGCCCGCCAAGCTATAGTGATCGGCTCAGACAGAGGCACAGAACTTAAAACCAGGTCAAGGAGAACCTCTCCTGGTACCTGTGTGGAAGTACTCAGGGGAGGGGGCACTTTCCTCACTTTCCTCCCCATGCCGAGCTGGCTAAGTCAGTGGGAAGTCTGTGGCCAGGGCTGTTCCATGGGGAGCACCTGCTTCAGGTTGGAGCCAACATAGTGCAAAGGATCGAGCTGCAGGGGCCTGTAGCATCTTGCTGTGTACCTGCTAGCCAGGCAGGAAGCTACAACAGCAAGGGCCCCTTAGGGAGGGAGGAGACGGGCCTTTAAGACGGTGCAGGCACAGGGACGCAAACTTAGGTGATAAGGGTATGTGTGCGGTGGTGGGGGGCGGTTCATGTGTTGGGCACCTTCAAAGCGGAGGCTGAGCAGCAGGGGATTGGCAGGGGTCTCTGAGAGCAGCTCCACATAGAGGGACTGGGCGTCGCTGAGGAGGCCGCGCTCCGGGACGTCATCCATGTCGGAGTCGTAGATCACCGGTGACAGGGGGCTCCCACCAGAGCGCACCATGAGCCTGCGGGAGACGGGAGACTGACCAGGGGCTCGGTCCCCAACCAGAGGGGGCCGCACTTCCTGCCTGCTCTCCTTAACTGTTTTTTAAGAAGATTTATTCAATTTTATTGGAAAGTCAGATACACAGAGAGGAGGAGAAACAGAGGAAGATTCTCTGTCCACTAATTCACTCCCTAAATGGCCACAACAGCCGGAGTTGAGCCGATCCAAAGCCAGGAGCTTTTTCTGGGTTTCCCATGAGAGTGCAGAGTCCAAGGCTTTGGGGCTGTCCTCCCCTGCTTTCCCAAGCCACAACCAGGCAGCTGGATGGGAAGTAGAACAGCCAGGATACAAACCGGCACCCATATGGGATCCTGGCACATGCAAGGCGTGGACTTTAACTGCTAGGCTACTACTGGGCCCAAATTATTATTTTTTTTTAAAGATTTGTTTATTTTACTTTTATTTGAAAGGCAAATTTATAGAGAGAGATCCTCCATCTGCCCCCGCACTCCACAATTAGCCACAATGGTAAAAGCTGGGCTAATCCAAAGCTGGGAGCCAGGAGTTTGTTCTGAGTCTCTCATATGGGCCTCAGGACCCTCTGCTGCTTTCCCAGGCACATTAGCAGGGAACTAGATTAAAAGTGGAGCACTTGGGACTCAAACCAGCGCCCACATGGAATGCCAGCACTGCAGGAGGAGGTTTAACTATGCCATGGTGTCAGCCCCCCTCCTATCTCACTTTTATAGCTCTCATTATCAAAGATTCACTAAAAACCCCATATACTTTGAAGCTGATATAACTTAGATGTCGCTTCATTTGCATTTGAGTCAAATATTGTCATTCAGAAAGAAGGTGCAGCCTGTCCAAGATGCGCAGCACAGCTGGGGTGCCACGACAATGATGACGGGAGTGGACGTCATGGGCAGAAGGCTAAGCCACTGCCCAAGACACCTGCATCCCATACTGAGGTGCTCATTTGAATCCCAACTGCTCTGCTTCAAAGCCAGCTTCTTGCTAATGTGCCTGGGGAGGAGGACAATCATGATTAAAGTACCAGGGCTCCTGTGACTAGAGAGACCTGGGTGGAGCTCCTGGCTCCTGGCTTTGGCCTAGCCCAGACCTGTTGGGCTGTTGTGTGGGGAGTGAAAGAGGAGATGGAAGCCCTCTCTCTTTTCCTCCCTATGTGTGTGCATGTGTGTCACTCTGCCTTTCAAGTAAATAAGTAGGAAAGTAAATAAATATAGAAATACATTTTTTTCCTAAAGGAGGATAGCGATGCAGCCCCGGCCCCGAGCCTCACCGGTCATTGTCCTCATCCAGTGAGACCCTCTCGAAGTGCAGGTGCAGCCGGCGCCCCTCGGCTGCTTCGATAACCCAGCGGCAGGTGAGGTTGGGGCCGGCCGCTCCCCCGGGCTCGGGTGACACGATGCGGCCCAGGGTGGCATTGTGGATAGTGCCTCCACAGGACGCTGTGGGTACAGGAGGGGCGGGTCAGGGCCAGCCTGGGGGTGGCCTGTCCTTCTCCTGGGTGGGAGGGCACAGGCAAAGGGATCAGATATATAGACCCTCAGTGTGGTGAGCTCTGGGACAGAGGATGGTCCTGGTGAGAAACCCCTATAGAATGGGCTTTTCCCAAAGGATGGGGACCCCACCCAGGGCAGGTCCCTCCCAACACGGGTGCACAGGACAGAGAGGAGACTCACCTACGCAGCTGGGGGGTCCCCCACTCCAGGCTGGCCGCGTGCCGTTGAGACAGATGAGAGTCTCCTCGCCCTGCAACTGGTAGCCTGAGTCGCAATGGAAGGTGGCAGTGCCCCCGGGATGCAGGTCAGTGACGCTCACGTCCCCGTGCGCCGGCCGCAGAGGGAAGCCACAGCTCAGCAGGTAGGCTGCGCCATGCAACACACATGGGATGTCACCTCGCCACCTCCCTCCACCAAGCTCAGCAGCCTCACACCAGGCCCCCAGGACGTCCTCTTCCCAAACCCTGCAGTGTGAATTGGCTCTCAGAAGTCCACGGCTCACACTAAGAGCTCCTTGCCCCGACACCTTGTTCTGTGAGGAGGTCATTTCACGATGGTGAAACGGTACCCCTAAGCTTGGCAATCCTCCTACTCCGCACCTCCCCACGTCATGAGGGAGTTGAAGCTCCAAGAAGCTATTCTGGCTTCAGATGAATCAGCTGACTACTCGGAACTCTGGTCATCTCTAACAAGAACAGACAGTGTCCACAGAACAAATTCTGCTTCCCAAGTGAATTTGTTCTGTGGGTGTGATATAGGCAAAGGCTGAGCGACCTATTCCCCAGAGGCAGACACTGAGCTCCAAGTTATGAAGTGCCGTGTAGTAGTTGCTCCCCTTCACACTCACACATACACACACTCACTCACTCACATTCACACACGCACAATACGCTCACACATGTGTATGAGCACTTAAACACACACAACCCCCCCACACACACACGAGGCTTTTCCACACAAGCATCTTGGGGTGGCATACCCTCCACATGCCATCCAGATGAACTATAAGACCCTTTCTTTTAGGGATGTTGACTCTCAGTAAAGGCTGGGATAATTAGCACCAGCCCCCGACCCAGTGAACCTGCCATTCCCCAGTGCAAGGGAAGTGCTTGGCAGAGCTCACTCTCCTTGAACAAGTGGCTTGTTCTCTTTCTTGCCGTGAAATACTTTCCTTTTTCGCACTGGCAGCCAGGAGGCTTAGAAGGAGATTAAGGAGGGGCCCCAGCCTCGCTGGTCCTTTTGACACTAGTAAGAACTAGCTGGTGCTGTTTCTTCTTACTTGGTCTGTGTAATGGTATTGCTTGCACTGCTTCTGAAAGCTTTCTGAAATTCCCACACAAGCATACGGGATAAAAGAACTGCACAGGGCGCAGCACAGTGGCTCAACTGCTTAACCTTCCACACGTAAGTGCCGACATCCCATATGGCACCAGTTGTTATTCCAGCTGCTCCACTTCTCATCCAGCTCCCTATTTGTGCCCTGGGAAAGTAGCAGAGGATAGCCCAAAGCCTTGGGACTCTGTACCCACATGGGAGACCTGGAGGAGGCTCCTGGCTCCTGGCTTTGGATCAACTCAGTTTCGGCCATTGTGGTCATTTGGGGAGTGAACCAGTGGATGGCAGGTTTTTCTCTGTCTCTCATTCTCTACCTGTAAATCTGCCTTAAAAAAAAAAAAAAAGACAGGGGCCTAGAACAGTAGCCTAGCAGCTAAACCTTGCATTGCATGCACTGATCCTATATGGATGCCGGTTAGTGTTTCAATTGCTCACTTTCCATCCAGCTCCCTTCCTGTGGCCTGGGAAAGCAGTTGAGGATGGCCCAAAACCTTGGGACCCTGTACCTGTGTGGGAGACCAGGAAGAAGCTCCTGGCTCTGGATCGTCTCAACTCTTGCCATCGTGGCCACTTGGGGAATGAACCATTGGATGGAGTATCTGTCTGTCTCTCCTTCTTTCTACAAACCTGACTTTCCAATAAAAATAAATAAATATTAAAAAAAAAACAAAAGACAGAAATGAATTGCAAGCTGCTTGTTAATCAACATTGAGCTCTGACCTTGATTCCAACAGAACTCTGTGTCTACGCTTCAGAAGCAGGCTGAACTTGACATCCAGAAGGGCTTCCTGGAGGAAGCACAGTGAAGCTGCATCTTTTAGAAGGGACAGGTTCTGGGCTGCAGAGAGCTTGAGTGACTCCCAGCTTGCTTGGTCCTTGACTCTTTCCAAAATGTAACAAGCATGCCCCTTGGGGGATGGAGAGATGACCAAGACCCTGGCTTTGCCCGCTGAGTCTCTCCAGTCTGCTGAGATGCAAGGATCTCAGAATGACTCGGGCCTCGATGGTGTGGGTCACAGTTAGCCCCTGGGGTCTACAGAAACAGCCACATGTTTCATTCTGAACTTTAAACCCTTGCCCAGCTGGGTCCAGGCCAGCATGACTGGCTGTGGTATTTGGCACCTGAATCATAGCCCTCCGACATGGCACAGCTTGGGAACCCCTCATAACCCACCTCTGTACTTGGCTCATGCCCTCGCCCTGGATTGTGAAGGCCCTCCCTGCACACTTCTTCCTCTTTCAAGGAGCAACTCTACCACCACCTCTTCCAGGAAGCCTCCACCTTTTCTCTGCAACAATGTTACTTCTTGCCTCTGTCCAGTGCTACTATGAGATAAAACTAACTCCAATTTTATTTCTCTCCTAATAACCCAGCCAAGTGGATGTGTTGGGAGGTAGGCAGAGCTGAGCTCCAGACCTGGGAGCCCCAGCTTCTGGGCTCTGTCACTGTGAGCAAGGGCTTTGGCCTCTGCAGCCCCGATGCCTCTGGATGGCAGGAACTCTCCTCCCCACTCAGTGAGCATGGGTTTGAAAGTTACAAGAAACATACAGAGCTCAGAGGATGCACAAGGCTCAAGACCTGCCCCTCCTACTTCACTCAAGAGCCATGGGGAGTCAGGGTGTGTGGGGGTGCATTTGGCTTACAGGTGCTTGAGACTCTGCATAATCTTCAGGGCTGTTATTACAGCTGGGGGTGTGGGGACTGTAACAGGAGGCCATCCAAGAAAGGGCTCTGTACTTGGGGTGACAGGTGGTGGCATTTTGGAGCTCTCAGAGGAGTGAATGAGGCCACCCTGAGCCCAGTCCCCTCTGCCCCCTCCAACCTTGGGAAGTGAGGTGGGGCTTAAGTAGGCCTGGGTCTCCAAGGTGCTGGTAGAGCCACAGAGTGAAGAAGACTAAGGCGGGAACCAAGGCCAGTTTATGCAACAGCCCTGCTTTCCCCACGTTCCAGTTAGCCTACGGAGTCCTATTTTGGATGCCCCAGGGGACTGGTGGCAATGAGGAGTCAAGGGGAGACATCCAATAGCATCTGAAGCCCAATCTAAGGCCCCAGGACGGGGGTGGGGGGTGGTCTCCAAGGTCCGCTCTTGCTCCTAACACTCAGGCGTCCCTGCCAAGGACTTGGCCCTAGCTCACTCCCTGGGCTCTGGGTACACCCCGCTGTGCACCCAGGAGCCCCTGGAGCAGGGGTGGGAGAAGCTGGTGCATCCAAAGGAGGATTTACAGGCTGTGTTCTGAGCAGAACATAGAAAACACCAGCAGGGCTCATGGCGGCCAGTGTCCATCCATGAAGCCAGGCCAGGCCCTGCAGTGACATGACCCCCACACTGGCCTAACACTTCCTGTCATCACAGAACATGGGACAGAGCCAATGCTGTCGCATAACAGGCTAATCCTCTACCTGCCACACATTTGGGCACAAATTGTAGATCTAGTGGCTCCGCTTCCAATCCAGTTCCCTGCCTATGATCTGGGAAGGCAATAGAGGATGACCCGAGGCTTGGGACTCCTGCACTCTTGTGGGAGACCCAGAAGAAACTCCTGACTCCTGGCTTTGCCTGGTCCAGTCCCAGCTATTGCAGCCATTTTGAGAATGAACCAGCAGATGGATGATCCATGCCCCCTCTCCCCTCCAATCACTGTCTCTGTAACTCTGCCTTCCAATTACATAAATAAATAAATAAATAAAATCTTTTTCTTTAAGCACATAGGAAGGGGCCTGGAGAAGATGGCAGTGTCTCGGCTGGGGGCTTCACCTCGTGTCATGTGTGCACAGAGGGAAGGTATCTGTACACAGGTGAGCACAGGTGTACACACACGTGCAAGTCGGCTGCAGGTGCACACTGTGAATGCAGCCATGCACAGGCACAGCCCCAACATCCGAAGAATCCAGGACACAGAGGTGAAGCTAGGATGCTGCAGGTCTCCCTCACACTTGCTGGGGAAGGCACCTGAACCTCTTCCTAAAGCCAACGTGATTGCTCCAGATCCGACTCCTCCAGGCTGCACAGCCCCAGCTTTGGCAGGGCCCACCTGCTCACCCCCTCTACACTCTCACTGTACCAGTACTGACCGAGGCCTCCGCTCTCCCCATGTGCCAGGTGCTGTCTGAAGCCTGTACATGTGTGTGTACTCACCTGACCGTCCTAAGGAGCGCATGACCAAGCACGAGCCTCCCTACTTTTCAGACAAGACCACAAGGCACAGAAAGGTCAAGGCATTGTCCCAGGTCCCTCAGCTAGGACCCTCCTGTCTTCCAGGCCAGCATGTCACAGGCTGTCCTCTCTGGGTCTGGGATGTGCTTCCTCATCTACTTGGACATCTGCCTCCCTCTTCCTCCGCCATCACCTTTTCCAGGCACACGTCCCCATATGCCTAATTACAGTCCCGGATTCTCACCTCCTTGGATGTACCCTTGGCTTGTTCATTCCCTTCCTGGCATGAAGCAGGCACTCAGAACACACTGGTGGAGTTGAATAGGTAAACTGCCACATGGAGGCGTGTGAGGAGGAACCAGGGTCTCCTTGGAGTGGCGGGCTCCCCCCCGTGCCTTGCCTCTGGGAGTTGTCCTTTTGGTACCCAGAATGACCCCTGCCCTTCCTCCAGCAACCCACCCACCCCAACCCCAATGACTCACCCTGATAGTGAATCCTGAAGCCGCCACCCCTGGGTGCTCGCGGGCTCTGGAAGTGCAGCAGCAGCCGGTTCGTGGGGCTCCGAAGCACCTGTCCTTCTCCAAGCATGGAGGAGTTGGCCAGAAGTCGGGGGGCCAGGCCAGGAGACCCCCCTCCAGCCAGCACCAGAAGCTCCTCCTCCTGTGAGAGGTTCAGGGTCTGTACCTAGAAGGGAGTCAGACACATACTCACTGGAGGGTAGGGGGCGGGGAATCCTGACACCCTCTCTTTCCACTTCCAAGGGCAGGGTAGCTCAGAGACCAGCACAGGGTCTCTGTGAGAGCTCAGGGCAGGTGGGAGGCCAGGTGTGTGCTCACTCGTGGACAGGGGTGGGGACAGCAGGGAGCTTCGGTTACCTGGATCTCGATGCCGTAGCCGGGGTAGACGTGGATGCTGTAAGTGCAGTCCAGCAGCCCCAGGCTGCGGCCGGCAGCGCTCCCAGGATCTGGGGACTCCACAAACCCTTCACCCTCCGAGATGTTGTTATTGCACAGAACTGAAGAGACCAAAGTGGCTGCAGAGGCTCTTTCTGCCTTACCATCTTACCCCCCACCCCCACCACCCTCAGGCTTGCTCTCCCTCCTGTAGCCAGGCGCATCAAGGATAACACACCTGGCCAGCCACACTCCCACTCGCCCTTTGAAGTGGTTAAGCAGAAATAGCCACCATGCCTCACTCCCAGTTTCCCCTACAGCCTCTCCAGCTCCAGCTTCACCCCCTCCTCTCCAATGGCCTCACCTGGACTGGTCACTGTGGTAGTGACAGTGGTTGTGGTGATGATGGTGGTCGTGGTCTCCTCTTCACTTCCCTCAGGTCCCAGAGGGGGGACCGGGGAGGCGGGGCCTGGAGGGGGCGGGGCCGTGGTTCCCAGGGGCGGGGTCAGCAGCTCCGGGGCGGTGGGCCCTGCCCCTCCCACCCCCTGAGGGGTGACAGCCGTGGTCAGAGGCCCTGTGGCTGGCTCGGTGGCCCGTGGCAGGTAGGGTGCTGCAGGAGTCTGGCCGGCTGGAGGGGTTGCTAGGGTGGTGTCTGGGTCAGATTCTGCAGCAGGGCAAAAAGGGTTAGGGTACAGAAGCACCAAATGACAGGGCCGGGGTGGGGGAAGTTGAGAGCACAGGGGAACAGGAGGTTCCTTCCTGAACTCTAGGACCCTTCGAAGGTACAGGTCCCCTCACCTTTCCCTTCCCCACTGGAGATCTTCACCTTCCCCCAAGGCCTCCACAGACTAACACCCCTCTTCCCACTCTCAGGAGCCTCCATCAGGATCAGAGTCCCCCCATCCACCTCCCCATCCAGATCTGCTCTCTCTCCTGGTACCCCTTTCTCCCCAGCTCTCTCTCTCAGTAGCCCTTCTCTTCCCTGTCTTGCTCTGTCTGGAATTCTCCATTTCTCTATTTTGCGTCCTTACTGTTCTCTGAGGTCCAATTCCAGCTCTCCCAGCTTTCGTATTTTGTTCTCACTCCCTTTGCTTTTCTTCCGCTATTTCTGACTCTGGTTCCCCACATCCCCTGCTTTCTCTGTGGCTGGCTGGCTTTCTCTGCTTCTGTCCATGCCCACTTCTGACACCTTCCCAACTTTGCCCATCTCCCTTGTGCGCCGCTGGCCTTCCTTGCCCCCCTGCCTGATGGCTCTCCACCCAGAGCCAACGTCTCCTCCGTGCCACTCCCTGCACTGGGTGGAGTGGGGGGCTCACCCGGCAGGAAGCCCATCTCCGGACCTCTCCTCAGCAGGGCCCCATGCAGCAGCTCAGCCAGTGCCTCGGTGGCCACGGTGGGGGTCTCACTTGCAGGCTCTGGCAAGACTTCATCTTCCTGAAGGGGCAAGCCTAAGGGGTGAAGTTGAGTGAGCCCCTCCACTCCCTCCTCCCATCTCTCCCTTTTCCAGAGTTCTTCCTCCTTCCTCCATTTGCTGGGCCTGAGGGATCTTAGAGGGTCCCAGGCTGGGCTGAGAGCCAAGAATGGAGAAGTAAGACGCTAGACACCCCTCACCCCGCCACTGCCTCCCCTGCTGCGGCCGTGTGGGCCTCCGGTAGGCACCATGGAGTATTCACGAGTGCTGGACAGCGCCAACGGGGCGGCTAGGAGCACTGAAACCACCGCCCCTCCAGCTCCACGGTGCTGTGCCCCCAGCCCTAAGGCACTGGGAGGGTCTGGCCGCACCCGAGGCCTTGCTGCCCCGCAAGGAGTGTTGGGCTTTCTCTCTGGGTCTCTGTCTGCAGTGTGGCTGGCACTCTCTCTCATCCCCGCAGTCTCTGCCTCCTCCGGAGTCTGGCTGCGGGACCGAGGCTTGGATCTCTGCTCCCTGCCTCTGTTCCTTTCTCTTTGTCCAGATGTCCAAGAGCAGTGGCGTGTATAGCGCTTGGCGTCTCCTCTCGCACTTCCACCTCGGACCCAGGTGCCCCCCCCCCCGCCTTGCTTCTCCTGCCCACTGCCTCTGTAGACACCCCCTACTTCCCCAGCTCTCCTTCCTGGATTTAACCCTTGAGAGGCTGCTAAAAACCCCCTTTCTGGCCCACTGCTCAAGGTTGGGCATAATGGGGTTCCCAGAAAGCCCAGGCTTGCCCCTTCTCATCAGTGGTGTCCCTCCCCTCCCCCACAAGCTCCAAAGTCCCAGGATGCTTGGAGAAAGGAGGGCAGAGGACCTGCTGGGGGCCTTCTTGTCCTCCCCCTCCCCCGCACCTCCCCCCCACAAACACACACTCATGTCCTTACCCTGAAGCCAGGGACAGCTCAGCAGAATCAGGAACAGCAGCTGGGGAGGTGGCCGGTGATGGGCCCCGGGAGTCCCCATGGCGACTCACCCAGGCTTCTCTCCCAAGTAATCTGGCTGCCACCTTTTCTCTTTCCCTTTAGTACTCTTTTTTTCTTTTTCCTGCTAAGGGTCAGCAAAGGAATACAATTTGCCCCTTGAACTGGAGGGACAGGACTGGGCTGGGGGGGTGGCTGGAGCCCACCCACCCCCTCTTCGCTCAATCTTTTCTGTCCTCTGTGTGGTAGAGGGGGGCGCGGCTCCGGCTGCAGGAGGTGGGGCTGGCAGGGCTGAAGGGGCCGGGTCGCCTGGGTTACCCTCTCATCTGCAGCCTGGGTTCACCCGGTTGGATCCCAAGCTGGGGTATGGGGGTGTAGGGGGATGGGGAGGAGGAAGGCAGCTTGTGGGGGGACCTGGGGTGGGGTTGAGGAGGGTTGGGAGGGTCTCTACTGGGCTCTAGGAGGTTGCAGGGGCGGGGAGGGGGTTGCGAAACCCGGAGAGCAGAGGCTCTGGGCACTGGAGCTGCGGGAGGCAGAGGCTGGGAGAGGTGTCGAGCCCACGTCAGATCCTGGGGACGGGCGGAGGGAGGGGCCTGGGTTTATTTGTGGGGGAGGGCGGAGGAGGAAGTGCAGATGGAGGGAGGTGGGATCTTGTGAGCCAGGACCGTAATCCGCACTCCCGCGGCCCCTAGGGGGTGCAGAGGAAACTCTCCGGTCCCAGCAGTCATTAGACCCATCCCCCACGCCATTCCAGCACATCTGGAATCGAAATCTCCTCTTCCCCGGGTGCAGAGGGGCGGCAGAGCCTGGGCCGCCGCTGTTCCACTTCCCTATCGGCCCTCTTTCCACATCCGGAACCCCTCATGGGATTGCCCCGGGCCTTTCGCAGGAGCTCCGGTGGAACGGAGGGCTTCTTTCCTCTTCGGGATAACGGGGGAGAATTCCTAGGGTGGCGGGCAGGAGTCTGGACCGGGGGACCTCCCCTATCCCCAGCGCCGGGCTCCGGCCTGCCCGGGCGCCCTTTTTCAGAACCACAGGGCGCGGACAGCGCCCAGCGCCCCGCCCCCGCGCCGATGGCGATTGGTGGAAGCTGCTTTCACTCATCAGCCTCCGCCCGGGGCCGGCACTCAGAAAGGCCAAGGGGCTGGGGAGTGTGAGGGGTCCGCAAGCCGACTGCCCCCACCCCCTACCCCCGGGATCCGCTGACCCTCGCACAGCCCGGGGCGACCCCATCCGCAGTCCCGGGGCTGCTCTGCCACGTCAGTCCACACGCTCCTCGGGCTGGTCCCGCCCCCTTAATGTCCCGCCTCTTCTTTTCGCATTGCGGGACGGCAGGAGGTTGGCACGGGGTCCCCCATACAGGGCACCCCACGTGCCGTCCGGTCGGGGCCGGTATGGGGCGGAGCGGGACCGGGAGGGAAATCCAGAGGAACACCTGCCCCCTCCCGCCCGCAGGGCTGAGTTGCGGCTGCCCCTGGGAGGGGTCCGGGAAGGAGTGACGTCAGGGTGAGTGGGAGCCAAGGAAGGCGCGAGGAGAGAGGCAGGGCCTGCAGGTGGGATCGAGCGAGGAGGAGCGAGAGCAAGACGCAGACAGGAGGCAGGACAGAGAGAAGCTGCACTGAGGAAGGCGGGCTGCGGGGTCCCTGGGGTGCGGGGCCAGGTGGGGTAGGAGTCAGTCCGGGAAAGTGAGCAGGAAGTTGGGGGGGGGGGGAGGAAGCAAGAGAGCTGGAAGAGGGGGCGGGGGTGGAAGGAGCAGAGAGGAGGCTGCCGGGAGGAGAAAAGGGAGAGGAGGAGGGGAGGGTTGATGGAGAAGGCAGGGGTGGAAGGGGTGAGAAGCAAGACGTAGGAGGAGCGAGCCAGCAAGCAGGGTTCCCTGACAGACCCAAAGTGAAGGGCAGGCCTCAGGAGACCACAAAGGGCTGTCGGGAGGGTCATCGGGGAGAATCAGGAGGCTGCCATGGAGGGCACAGGTGGCGAGCTGGGGGCACTCGGAGCCTGGGGCCTGGAGGACACCCCGGGGCTCTTGGCCAAGGCCGCCCTGCCGGGCCTGCTGCCCTGGCCACTGCCCCTGGCATCCTCAGCCTTCACCTTGCTCTTGGGCGCCCTCACATCCCTCTTCCTCTGGTACTGCTACCGGCTGGGTTCCCAAGACCTGCAGGCCCTGGGAGCTGGGGGCCAGGCTGGAGCTGTGAGCGTGGGATGCCCCGAGGCTGGCAGGCCCGGCCCCAGGAGCTCTGTGGAGGCCAGAGAAGGGAGCAGGGCTGAGGGCCTGGTGAGCCGTCGGCTGCGAGCCTATGCCCAGCGCTACTCCTGGGCAGGAATGGGGAGAGTGAGGCGGGCAGCACAGGGTGGCCCAGGCCCCGGGGGAGGGCCAGGCATCCTGGGCATTCAGCGCCCAGGCCTATTCTTCCTGCCAGACCTGCCTTCGATGCCCTTTGTGCCGCGGGATGCCCAGCGGCACGACGTGGAGCTCTTGGAAAACAGCTTCCCTGCCATCCTGCGTGACTTTGGAGCCGTGAGCTGGGACTTCTCAGGGTCTAGTCCCCTGCCTCGGGGCTGGTCCCCGGCCCTGGGCCCTGGCTGCTACCAGCTCCTGCTCTACCAAGCAGGCCGCTGCCAACCCAGCAACTGCCGCCGATGCCCAGGTGCCTACCGGGCCCTGCGGGGCCTGCGAAGCTTCATGAGTGCCAACACCTTCGGCAATGCTGGCTTCTCCGTCCTCCTGCCCGGGGCCCGGCTCGAGGGCCGCTGTGGGCCCACCAATGCTCGCGTCCGCTGCCACCTGGGTGAGTAGATGCAGTCGGCCAGCAGACCTCCTCCATGGCTCGGGGAGATCCCTGAGCAGAGGTTCTCTGCTGCCTGAGCGTTCTCCAAGATGGCTCTCCAGGGCTGTGAGCACAGTTCCTGGGCGCCCACAAGGACCTGCAGGCTGATTTGGTTAGCTTTTTTGTGGGCCTGTTCTACCTGCCCACTGGTCTCAGAAGGACGCCCAGCCCTACACCTTCTTTTACTTACTTAGTAGAAATCTTTATGGAACTCTAAGTGCCCACCACCAGGACTTGCCCCAAAGGGAAGCTAATCATAAAAACAGGTTCTCAAAAAGAAATTTGTAAACAGCTAAATACTCAGATCTCCCTCAACCTGAATTCTACATGTTCTTCTCTGAAAAGGGAGCAGCCACGGGAGTGTTTGATAACACCCCAAGAGGTTTTTTTGGTTTTTCTTTTGATGTTTTAAAGATTATAAGGAAATGACTATGGCACAGTTGGCTGTGTCCTGCCCTTTGGGACATGCTGGCCTCAGGATGCAGTCTAGAACCTTCTTGCCCTCCCACCATGCCCACAGCACTGAGGCCACGGGGCTGATCCTTCCCGTCTTTCCTCCCTGTTGGCCTTCTGGGAAACTCCTGTCCAAGTGGCAGTGGCCACGCCTTCTCTGATTAGGCTGCTGCCTTTGCGTCCCATGCTCAGCCACGTGATCTGAAGGCCAGGCTGGAGCTGCCAGTCCTACACTGTCTTGCCCCTGGTTAATTAGGTGCTTGACTCCGACCATCGGAAAGCCCACGGTGCCATTTTTTGCAGGCAGCCTCTGTCTGCCGCAGACCGCACTATGGGCATCTCCGAGCACTTATTTCCAACCAGCGGTGTGTTTAATTATGTCTGCATTGGCCAGGAGGGTTGGATGCAGGGTTCTCTCCCCTACAGGCCTGAAGATCCCCCCTGGCTGTGAGCTGGTGGTCGGGGGTGAGCCCCAGTGTTGGGCTGAGGGGCACTGTCTTCTGGTGGATGACTCCTTCCTGCACACAGTAGCCCACAACGGTAAGGGCTGCGAGAGGCGGGGGAGGTGCGAGAAAGTGGAAGGAGAGTGGGCTGAGGGTGGGAGAATCAGGTCTGACTGATTCCTGTTCCAACAGCAAGCTGCAGGACCTTGGGCCATCTTCATGGGGTGACTGCCTTCCCTGGTGGCTGCAAGGGTGAATGTAGGCACAGAGCCAGGTGGCTAGGGGGAGGGGGGAGCCTGGATAGGTGGGGCTCCTGCCGTACCGTCCTCGGGCAGGTGACCAAGTGGCTGTGCTTGGGCTGTGTCACTGTGTGAGTTACTTTCACTGCGAGTGTTGGTACAGGCCTGGAGTTAGAACAAGGCTGGGCACTTCCTGAACATGTGCTTGCCTTCGCGAGGGTTTGGTGAGTGCTGTTCTTCCCACCTCCCATGTCCCAGGCAACCCAGAAGACGGGCCGCGAGTGGTGTTCATCGTGGACCTTTGGCACCCCAACGTGGCTGGGGCCGAGCGTCAGGCCCTGGACTACGTCTTTGCACCAGACCCTTGACACCTGAGCTGGAGAGATGATTCACTCAGGGTTGGCGTCAGCGGTGGTCGGGGCCTCCAAACTGCGAGGGGCTGGGGGAGGGAGGTGGCTGGTGGTGTGGCCACGAAATAGAATTTGTGAATCGTCTCCTGAGTCCTGACTACTTCCTTCTCTGCTGCCAGGCTCCAGGTAGGGGCTCATGACGACTCCCACAAAATGAGTCAGGCGTCTGCTTAGCACAGGTGGCCCTCAGCGCCTCTGCTGGGAGAGCTGGCATCACACCTTCTACTCCACTTTATTCCAATAATTTAATAGAAAATTTAAATAATAAATAATATGAAACAGATCAAGAAAATGGCTGAGCTGGGCCAGGTCCAGGCCAGCCTTGTACAAAGTTATGGGCACAGGGAGGGACGAGGAGGGGGTAAGTTACCCTGCATGGGGTGGGCGGGAGTGGGGTGGCTCCAAAGTGGTGGGTGTCATCCTTGACACTTGAGCGTGGGCAACACACTAAAAAAAGGCAAAGGGAATTCTGAATCATTCCAACCCAGCTGCTGAGGGAAGGAGGTTGGGGCAGGGATGGGAACGCAGGGAAGTGTGAGGGTGCCCTGTGTTGTTAGCAGCGAGTGAGGATGACTTGAGAAGGGCCATGGCGGAGGTGGACCGTCCCATGCAGTGATGCAACCGCAGGGAAAGTAGGGCAGATAGGGAGGGGCCACGACTTGGCCAGCAAAGTCGAGGCAGGGAGGGGGGTGTCCAGAGGCAGGAGACTGGACACGGGTCAGAGGTCAGTCCTTGAAAACAATCTGCTGGCCGTGAGGACGCTCATCGTGGGTGATGTGGCGCCGAACGTGGATTCTGCGGACACGGTGCTCTCGCATCTCCTCATCCTCCCCGCGACCTGCCCTACCTCCTCCAGCTGCGCCTCCTGTGGCCTCCAGGAGTGCTGGGTCTGGGCCTCTGGGGGTCTCGTAAATCAGAATGTTCAGGGTCTCTTCAAAGATCCGGGCCTCTGGGAACTCCACCTGCCAAAGACCAGCGACCCCCAGCTGCCACCCTGTGCTCAGTTGTGCCCAGCCGGCCCCTACCACTCCTGTGCCGGCCCAGCCTCTCTCTGCACTCAGATGCTCAACGATGGCCCTTCTCTGCAACTACTTCCTCTTTAAAGATGCATTTATTTATTTGAAAGAGTTAGAGAGAGAAGAAGAGATATCTTCTATCCTCTAGTTCGCTCACCAAGTGGCTGCAATGGCCAGAGCTGGGCCAGCCTGAAGCCAGGAGCTTCATCTGTATCTCCTATGTGGGTGGCAGGGCCCAAGTATTTGGGTCCTCTTTCGTCGCTTTTCCCACGCACATTAGCAGGGAGCTGGATCAAAAGTGGAGCAGCCCAGACATGAACCCATAAGGAATGCCAGTTTCACAGCTGGCAGCTTTCCCACTCTACCACAAGGCCAGCCCCTGTTGGCCCTTTACTCAGTGAAGTCACACTTGGAGACCCAGCATCCCAGAAGAATGCCTTGCTTCTGCTCCCTCAGGCCTAGAGTCTTAGTAGACTCTTTTTTTTTTTTTTCTTAGTAGACTCTTACCACCTGGTGAATCCTTACCTGTAGTAGGCCAGGAGTTGATTAGCACTGTTAAACTGAGCAGTAACAGGAAATGGGCTTGGGGCTAAAAGCATCTGGTCTAATCCAGCTCATTGACATCCTATTGTTTGGCTAAAAGGCTTGGGGGAAGGCTTGGGAAAGACTTCCACCATCACTGGTCTCCTGTCAGTGCTTCATCCCCAGACCCTCTCCGTGTCCAGTTACTGGCTCTGCTGGCCGGAGCACTTACCCACCGACTACACCTTCCCCGGGATTGTGCTGCATCCTGGGAATACAGCAATGAGTCAAGCACAGCGTCTGTCTCCAGGGAGCTTAGGCTCCAGGTTGGGGAGCTGCAGACATCCAAGGGGTCCTCACAAAATCCATAGAAAACAGATACCATGAGAAAAGCTGTGTGCATGCATTCTGAAATGTTTTTGCATCAAAATATTTTGTACACTGTCTCCACAAGCTCTGTCAAGTGCCCCGCAGAGGCATTTAAGAAGAGGTAAAACTAAGTCAGGTGATGACAAGTGCTGAGAGACAGTCAGTTAGAATGGCTTGTATTGCCAGGTTGGCAAAGTGGGAATGTTGGGAACATCTCACTGAGGCGATATTGGGCCTTGTGGACAGCCTGGGGAGAGTGTTCTAGGAAAGGATGAAGGGGAGAGCTCTGGGTCAGGGGTGTGCCTGGTGGGTCATTCCAACACACTTCCCATCCAGTTTCTGGCTGCTGTGCTTGGAGGGCAGCAGCAAGATGTCCCAAATGTGTGGGCTCCTGCCGCCCCCTGAGAGACCCGGATGGAGTTCCTGGCTCCTGGTTTGGGCCTGGCCTGGCGGACTCCTGCTGCCCTCTGAGGAATAAATCAGTAGATGGAAGACCTCTGATTCTCCCTCTTGTTCTGCCTTTCCAATTAATCAGTCAATCTTTCCAAAAAGACAAAAACACAACAGGAGCCAGCTCAGTGGTACAGCAAGCTAATCCCTATGGTGCCAGCATCCCATATGAATGCCAGTTCGGTGTTCTGGCTGCTCCACTTCTGATCCAACTCCTTGTTTATGGCCTGAAAAAGCAGCAGAGGATGACCCAAGTTCTTGGATCCCTGTACCCGTATGTGAAACCCAGAAGCCACTCCTGGCTCCTGGCTTCTGATTAGCTTAGCTTTGGCCATAGTGGCCATTTGGAGAGTGAACCAGTAGATAAAAGATCTCTCTCTCTCTCTCTCTCTCTCTCTCTCCTTTCTGTGAAATCTCCCTTTCAAATGAACATAAAATCTTTTTGAAAAACAAATCTGACCCACAGAAGCAACCTGTGCCAGGTTACACCCAGAACTCCAGCTACCCAGCTCCCAAAGCGCAGGGAGGCGCTCTCTCCTGTCAGACAGGTACAACTGACTGTCCCAGTCCCTCTCATCCCCCACCCCTAAAGCCTCCTGACCTTGGTCTGCTTCTTCTCCGTGGCGTACACGATGGATGTGCAGCAGACCTCGGCAATCTTGCGGCCCTGCCCATAGAAGGACCAGCAGCAGATCTCATCGCCCAGCACGTCCTTGAGGAAGAGCAGCCGTCCGTGGAAGCGCAGGGCCAGCTTGTCAAACAGCTCAATGTTCTTAAGCAGGTTATCATCGGAGGTACTGAGGACAGGGAGGGATGTCCAGGACCTCAGCTTCCCTGGATGCCTCCCCCACCCCACCCAGGGTAGAGTCTGCAGTTACCTGCACTCAGCTCCTGCCCTCAGAAGAGAAGCATTAAGTCCCAGCATGGGGCAGCTCCCTGACAAGGCTGCATGGACTGGGCTCCTGCCAGCCCCACCCTGACCTCTAGCAGGGTAACACCAGGCAACTTCTTGGGGCCTCAGAACACCCATCCACAAAACAGGGATTCACAAGAACACAGCCTCCAACAAGGATTACAGAAGTGGAGGTACAGGGTGCACTTACGAGAACTGTGCCGGCTAGGCAACCTGCCCTTGGCACAGCGTAACCGCTATTGCTGTCATCCAACTTTCCCTGGAGCCCCATCCCCTTGGAACCCAATCTGGAGCTCTGAGGGGGAAATGAGCTACCTGCATACCCTGGGGTGAGTGGCAGGGCGGCCATGGCAGCCACTGCAGTGGTCTGTCTGCAGGGCTCTGGCACTCCTGCCACCCTGCCATGGTCAGGAGCAGGGCCATGCCCCCCAGGCTCCACCCCCCACGGGTTGCATCACCTGGTGTAGGAGTATTTGTTGTTACTGCGGTTGTGCAGCAGCTTCACCACGGGCTGTTGGGGGGAGAAAGGATGCGGAAGGCTTGGGGTGAGGCTGTGGAGAAGAGGTCCACCTCCCCCCTGCAGGGCTGCCTGTGGCTGGGAGGGCGCCTCACCTTGGAGGTGCTGGCCAGGAGCTGCTGCTCCTCCCGGGGAGATGTCAGGGTTGGGATGAGGCACAGCGGCGACAGGTTCTCCTTTTTTTGCTGGGGAAGAAGTGGAAAGTGGCTCAGGGCTTATCAGGAGGTCTTGCATGCCCTCACTTAAAGCGTAGGTGGGCGGGGGGAGAGAACGCAGACTCCTCAGTGGTTTCCCCTGGACGGCTAGGCTCCAGCTGCGTGCCCCTTGGCCCACCCAGCCTGTGGGCCACCTTTGTCTGCCCTATTGGGCTGTAAGCTCGCACCCCTGCAGAAGCCAGGCCCCTCCCTGCAGGGTGACCCCACCCCCTTCCCAGTTTCTTTCCCTCTCAGCACTCAGTGCCCCGCAGACAGACACCAGATATTCAGCAAGTGTCTGTTAAGTGGCAAACCTGGCTGGGTGGCAATGGGCTGGAGAAAAGTGTAGAACAAGCCAGACGAGTTTCTCCTCTGCTTTCTTTATCATCCTGCTCAATCGCGCTCACCTCTCCCAACCCTGACAACTAGAAGGTGCATCTCTATAATTTCAGGAAACAGTACTTCTGGAAGCTTTAGAAATTTTTACTAAAATCAATACAGAAGGATGGTAGCTACAGTCACAGGTCAATTTGCACACAGAAGCCAAGAAGAGACAGATCCTGCTGGACAGAGGGAGGCACCACAAAGCCATGGTAGTGACAGGGTGGTTCCTGGTGCAAACAGAAGAAAACTCAATGGAACATAATCAGGACCAGGAAACATACTGGGGCATGCACAAAAATAGCCATTTAAAAAAAAGAGAGCGAGAGAGACCCCTCTGGGCCAGCACTGTGGCACAGCACGTTAAGCCACCACCTGCAACACAGGCATGCCATGGGAGGGCTCATTCGAGTTCTGGCTGCTCCATTTCCCATTCAGCTCATACACCTGGGAAAGCAGCAGCTGATGGCTCAGTGATTGAGTTCCAGACCCCTGCCTTCAGCTGGACCTGTTCCTGGCTGCTGGAGCCATTTGGGGAGCGAACCAGTGGACGAAGATCTCTCTCTCTCTGTTACTCTTCCAAATAAATTAATATTCAAGAATAAGCTAATTTGAAGATGTAGGAAACAGGTGTGTATGGGTTATCCATTGCTATTGAACAAATCCTCCCCAACTTAGCAGCTCCAGTGGGCAATAAGCAGAGTGGTCAGTTCAGGAGTGGCTCAGCCAGGAGGTCCTGGCCTGGAGTTCTTCAGCAGGCAGTAATGAGGGTGTTAGCTGGGGCCGAAGGCAACGGAAGCATTGCTGCCTCCACGGTCCTGGGAGAAAGCTCAGCCAGCCAGCCAGCCAGCCAGCCAGGGCCAGGAAGTAGCCCACCCTGCCAACAGAGGGCCTTTCCCCTGCGCTGTGAGCACCCTCCCAGCAGACATCTCCAGGGCATCTACCCGGGCTAAGTGGAGTCTTGATGTCTGATGACCCAGCTTTGTCAGCCCTCTTCGGTATAGCCATATGGGAATGAAGGGAGGAAGCCAGGGCCAGTGGGATGCTTGGGGAGTCCTGGCTCCTACAGCCTGCACTCTGACTCCCATGGACACCCATCTCTCCCACATGCCAAATGCATACTTGGCTTCGGTGTCCCCAAATGTCATCTCGTTATGCATCAGTGCTCAAATGAGGTCCTAGTGGAAATGAGGTCCTCCAGTGGATGTTGTTTCTTAATTACAGCTTTCTAGGTAAACTTCCCCTCTACACCCCAGTGAGCCAATATAGACCAGTTAGGGCCTCCACGGTGCCCATGATGCAGCAGTGGACTTGCCAGAGTCACCGCCAGGGGCACTCTTGTTCCCAGGGGTGAAGCCGAGAAGGGATGCCTGGTGGAGCTGTGGTCTGGGTGCAGGCAGCCTAAGGGTGCAGACTTTGGCTCCGAGTGCTTTGTCATGACCCCTGTCGCAGCACTCCCTGCTTGTCCATGAAGGCTGTGTGCGGCAGTCTCCTCAGCCTGCATTCTGCCTGTTTATAGGTCAGGGATCCAAAGACCCCTTCTTTGGCTCTTTTTCAGCCCACACTCGACAGGGTTTCTGCCCATAGAATTCTCTCGAAAACTGTTCTGGGTGCCTTGAAAGTCTTGGGACTCCGTTTTTTAGGAGACAGTTGTCCTGACAGACCTCTGTGAAGCCAGATCTGCTCCTGCTGGGGCTTCTGCCAGCACTGTGATGTTTGCAGGCTTCTTAGGAGCACTATGACATGGAATTGAACTATTCTCTGAGGCATCTTTTTGTCTAATTCTGAGGTTTTTCATTTTTATTATTATTATTTTTTAAGATTTATTTGTTTGAGGCTCAGCGTGGTAGTCTAGTGGCCAGAGTCCTTGCTTTGCATGCACCAGGATCCCATATGGGCACCAGTTTGTGTCTGGCTGCTCCATTTCCCTTCCAGCTCCCTGCTTGTGGCCTGGGAAAGCAGTTGAGGATACCCCAAAGCCTTAGGACCCTGCACCTGTGTGGGAGACCCAGAAAACGCTCCTGACTCCTGGCTATGGATCAATTCAGCTCTGGCTTTTGCAGCCACTTGGGGACTGAACCAGCGCACGGAAGATCTTTCTTTCTGTATCCCTTTCTCTATGTGTATCTGCCTTTCCAATAAAAATAAATAAATCTGAAAAAAATTGTTTTTATTTGAAAAGCAGAGTTAATGAGAGAGAGAGACAGACAGATCTTCCATCCATTGGTTCATTCCCCATATGGCCACAACAGCTGGAGCTGCTTCCAGGTCTCCTACATGGGTGCAGGATCCCAATGCTTTTTAAGTCATCATCCCCAGATGCTTTCCCAGGCCACAAGCAGGGAGCTGGCTGGGAAGCGGAACAGTCGGGATACAAACTGGTGCCCATACGGATTCTGGCATCACAGGTGGAGGGTTAGCCTGCTCTACTATGGCGCTGGCTCAGATAGTCTGAACTTTTCTACAGCGCTGCAGGAGACACAGTTGCTGAACTTCCTGCTGGTAGGCAAGGATCCCCTTTCTGTTTCCAATTACATCCTCCTGACTGTTGCTCAAGCCCTCACTGCAGCTGACTTTCTTGCATTGCCTGTTGACACTTTTACTAGCCCTCTCCCCAAAGGGCTTCCGGTTCTGCCCACTTCTTAGATCCAAAGTTACTACCCGGGCAGCCGCTGGACAAATCCCTCAGGCTCTAGCCGGGACATCTACATTCCATCTTGGCATGCCTAAACTCAAGTCCTGGCTTGCAGGCATTGGGTTCCTGCTGTCCCTGGGGGAGACCCGGATTGAGTCCACAGCCCCTGTGAGCACCGATGGGATTGGGAGCACCGAGGACTGCATCAGTAGCAGGGAGCTCCGCCTACCTCTCTGCCTAGCATAGATGAAAAGTGCAAGTACTTCCACACTTGCAGTTTTTGTTATGATAGCCACCCCACTCCAGAACTCAAGCTTTGTTAGCTACTCACTGCTGGGCAATAAACTGCTACAGATTTAACACAGCAGGAAACACCCACTGTTCCACACTGGCCCTCTGGGCACATAGCCAGCATGGTACCGGCCCAGGGTCTCTCTGGATGTTGGCCAGGGCTGTGGTCAACAGATGATGTGGCTGGGCCAGGAAGATTTGCTTCTGAGAGGCTCCTGCCCTGGCTGGGAGTCTGTGCTGGCTGCTGGCAGGAGGCAGCCATCTCCCCATTAAGTGGCCCTTTTATGGCAACAGCTGCTTCCCCTAGAGGGAATGACCCAACAGACACACAGAGCCTTCAGTGCCTTTTGTACCTTTTACACTGAAAGTCACACACTTGGGCTCAGCTGCTCTGCTTCCCATCCAGCTTCCTGCTTATGGCCTGGGAAAGCAGTAGAGGATGGGCCAAATTTTTGGGACTCTGCACCTGTGTGGAAGGTCCTTCTTCTGAAGCTGCTGGCTCCTGGCTTCAGAACTTGACCATGTTGAAGTCAGCCATTTGATCCAACAGTTAAGACTGGGTTGCCCAGGTCCCATATTGGAACACCAGGGCTCAAATCCCAGCTCTGCACCTGACTCTAGCTTCCCACTAACATACACCTGAGGGAGCAGCTGGTGACAGCTCAACTGGTGGGGATCTGTCACCTGGAAGGGAGACCTGGCGCTGAGATCCTGGCTGCTGGCTGCAGTGTGCCCTGCCTCTGCTCCTTCCATGCATTTGGTGTTGACAGCTGATCAGTCACTTATGCACCTACATTACTACCTAGAATACTCTATGTTTCGGAACAAGGAAGTGCACCAACAGTGGAGGGATTAAACTACCACCACCTAAACACAGGGGCCAATTCTGAGCAATATTGATTAACAGTAAGATCAGCAATATTATGGGTGTCTTGGGGTAACCCGAAAAAGAATTATATCACATTACCTAGAATGTATTCTTACCAAACTGTTTGCTATCATGCCTCCAAATCTATGGTCTAGTTTACAGGAAATTCCAGTTAGTGTAGGGTAACAAACCTACTGATAGGACACGTAAACAGCCAGGCAGATTTAGAAAGTGGGTCATTCTCTAGGACGACTGGCAGGCTCTCTAACAAGTCAGCATGAGGAGGCAACAGGACTGGCGTGGACTGGCAGAGAAGTGCAGACATGACAAGCAGACGGAATTTGAGGATCTAGACTGGATCCTGCATTGGGTGACTCAGCTACAAAAACACATTTCTGTAACAACTGGAGAAAATAGAGGTTGCCCTGGATGTTAGATAAACATTTCGTTGAACCAGAAGGATGTCAATTTTCAACAACATCAAAACAAGCAGATTACAAAATGGTAGACATAACATGATTGTATTTTGGCAAAAATACACACACATACACATCTGCAAAGTACACGTTTGGTGTCTTCATTTTATGGTTACCTGTGTTCCTTCAGCTTCTACAGTTCATATATACTGCTGCAGAAATAATAAATGGTTTGTTGCATTTTAAAATTCTAAGGACTTGGGGTATGCATTTGATAGAGTGATTACAGATGCCGCTCAGGGTGCCTGCATCTCACACGGGAGGGCCTGAGCTGGGAGTCCTGGCCTCCGTTTGGCCACCCTGGGAGGCAGCAGGGGATGGCTCAGGAACTTGGGTCCCTTCCTCCCACATGGGAGATCAAGATGGAGTTCCAGGACTGGCCCAGTCCTGGCTGTCATAGGCATCTGGGGCAACAACCAGTAGATAGCGGATCTTTCTCTCGGCACCCCCTTTCTCTCTCTCCCTTTCAAAACAAAATGAAAAGAAATTAACTTTAAAAAAATTAGTTATCAATTTACTAATTACTAAACTTACTAAATATCAGATGCCATGGATAGGTACCCATACCTAAAACTGATTAGAAGTTGGCAATATCTAAAACTGACTACAAGTTATTACGTGTAACAGATTCTCTCATCTGGGGTTTTTCATCTGAATCTCAAAATCTAGCAAATACTTCGAGCATTTTCTGAACTCTCCCAAGGCTCGCAGGTAAATAGCACCATGCTCGATTATGTATAACCCAAGCCTCAAACGTGTATGACACATGGCCTTATGTAAGATGGCTTAGTTCTTTCTGCAAACTAAACTGAAATATGCTCTGCTTTCTTGCCAAGCCCTAGCAGAAAGATAGGCAGCTAAGTAGGAAAGCTGGTAAGGAATATGAATAAGCAAGTCACAGACGGAGATGGTGAAGAAGCCAGTGAATATGTATATGAGAAGATGCTCAATCTCACTTAGCACTCAGCGACGTGCAAATTAAAATGAGATCACCTGTCAGACTGGCAGAATGAGAAGCTGTAGGATGCCCCGTGGGGTTGGGAGTGTGCAGGAGCTCACAGCCAGATGTGAGGACCAAGGACTGCAGCCACGCAGGAGAGCATCCTGCCGAGACTGACACGCCATGTGCAGGTCTCCTGCAATCCAGCCATTCTACTGCCAGCTATAACCACGAGCAGCCCTGGCACAGGCCATGGGGCAGGTATGCATGGGTGCTCACAGCGGGCACTGCTTGTGGGGGGCAGGAAGCAGGAGGCAGTCTTGGTCTTCAATCCAGCGGGAACAAACACATAAGACAGCAGGGAATGCCCCCCACTGGAGGAGATGGGCACCCAACAGTACAGCTAGATCCTGAAGAAAGTTCCAAACTCAGAAACCATGAACTGTGACCCACAGCTCAGCGCTGTTCATGAAGATGTAAATAAAATGACATTTAAGCTTTTCTGGGCTACAAATATAATCCAAGCCATTATGTATCAAATATAAAACTAGCATGGGTGTCCCTGGGGAAAAGGGAAGTGGGCAGGGGCTGGGAATGAAGGGAGAAAGATAAAAACAACCAGGACTAGATGGACCTAGGCTGAGGAGACGAGAAGGAATATAGGGAGGAGTGTGCTGGGTGGGGGTGGGGCGGGGTCAGAGGCGGGGAGGGTGGGAACAATCTTAAGGGAACCTGGACTGCAGGCACTGGAGACTGAGCTTGGGAGAACACCCTTGCCTGGAGGTCAGGTGACCTGGGTCCCTGCCCGAGCTCTGCAGTGTGCTGCCGCCTTGACCATGGATGCACCTTCCCACTCCTCTGGCAGTCCAGAGTCCAAGAGGGAGAATGGGTGGGAGGCAGCTCAGGGGACACACAATGGGTGTGCATCACATCAGCTCCCTAGAAAACCATAAAACGGAAATGTGTTTCCCAGATATAATGCACTGTATTTCAAACCCCAATGGGTAACCCAAGAATGGGTCAGGAACTAAGCTTAATGGGTCCCAAAAGCACTGAAAAGAGCAGCTTGCACAATGGCTCAGTGACTAAATCCTCACTTTACATGCACCTATCCATAAGGGCACTGGTTTGTGTCCCAGCTGCTCCATCTCCCATCCAGCTCCCTGCTTGTGGCCTGGGAAGGCAGCAGAGGATGACCCAAAGCCTTGGACTCTGCACCCACATGGGAGACCTGGAAGAAGCTCTTGGCTTCAGATCGGCTCAGCTCCAGCCACTGTGGCCATTTGGGGAGTGAACCAGCAGACAAAATCTTTCTCACTGTCTCTTCTCTGCAAATATACCTTTCCAAGAAAAATAAACAAATCTTTAGAAAGAAAGAAAGAATGAAGGAATGAATGAACGGATGAACGAAGTGTCCAACACAAATCATTTTAGAAAATTCTTTTTTGGTTATATGTACATGAGTATAAAATGCATGCCTACCCCCCACCCCTGGCCCGCCACAAGGGCTACAATCTGAGAGTATGAAAAACATGGTATTTGTCCACAGCAATTCGACGTTTGTGGAGTTGAAGAGCCTATAAATGCTTGTGGGGATGACAGAGAGCTGGTCAGAGCTGCCACTTTCTAAGCTATAAAAACACATCAAAAGAAACTCCCATATTCTCCTACTATGATTGTATCCTAAAAGAAAAAGCATTCTACCATTGTAGAAGCAGAACAGACTGAAGAGCTGTCTGGGAACCTCAGGACACTGCCCTTATTTTTCTTGGTTCTGATCTTTCAGAGCAGGAGGACAGAACGTGAGAGGGAGGGACTGGCTCAAGGGCATTCAGTCAACTCTGTGGGGCAGCCTGGCTCCAAGCCCTGCACCCTGCAGCCCCTGCAGCCCCTGCAGCCCCTGCAGCCCCTGCGCCCCGCAGCCCATGCTCCAAGCTCTGTGTCTCATTGTGCTTTCTCAGTCCAGCTCCTTAGAACCATCAGGGCCCAAGAAGCCCCCCAACCAGCCTGTGGGGGCTGTGCTATGGAAACCCTGGTGTTGCTTGTCTAGGAATGGCTCTGCTTCCTGGTGCTTTCATGTGAGCCAAGAATTTGGAAGCTAAATGAAACAGACCATCCCAAGTGAGAAAGACTCTTAGTGTGATGGAATGTTGCCCCAGGTATTGGGGTGCTACCTAGCATGTACACCTCAATTTAAACATAGGTGCTGTCCCCTCTAGTGGCACTAGGACCTACCCAGGGGTTTCTAAGCAGGGGACAGAACAAACTGGGGGTGTATTGAAGGATAATGGCTGAATTGGGTGAGAAGGAACGGCAGGAAGCAGACAGCAGTTTCTTCTGCCTGAGGCTGCACGGCTGCTGGGCGAGCCTGAGGGATTCAGGCCAGGCACAGCCCTGCTCTCGAGGCAGCACTCTATATACACACACACACACACACACACACACACACACACACACACACTCTCTCTCTCTCTCTCTCTATCTCTCTCTCTTTCTTGCTTTCCAGTATCTAACCACTTGGGCAGCTCCCCCAGGGACACGGGAGGAGGGTCCCTCACCTGCAGGGCCAGCTGGCAATCCTCGATCAGGCCCTGAACCAGGTAGTAGCGTGCTTCGCCCAGCAGCTCCCCGAGTTCTCTGGCACTCTCGGGCAGTGGCACCGACCCGTCCCGCAGGTAGTTGAGGATGGTACCAAAGTGGCGGCCACTGCGGTCAATGAGCACCCAACCTAGCGGGAGAAGCAGGAGCAGAGCAATCACGTGGGTACTGGAAGGCCTGCACTTCACTTCTCTGTTTCCTGTTCTTTCAGCCCCATAACCTCTTCTGAAACACCAACCCATCTGAAGCCGACTGGAGTGCAACCCACCAGGACGTGGGTAAGGGTCACCTGCCACGAGAACACCAAACGGCCTCCTCATCCACAGTCTGCATTTCCAGACAGTGTGCAGGGATTGATGTGAGCGGGGTGCAGCGACCGCTTAGCAGCGGTTCAGGTGGCCGTGCAGGGTTCGGAGGCAGAGAGAAGGGAAGACGAGGCAAGGCTGCCTGGAGGGGTGTGGCTGGTGGCAGGGCTGGCTCCCAAGTCTACTGAGGTGAGGGGTGAAGGATGCAGGAACTGGCTATGGGAATGACGGAGAGACTTAGCGCTGCGCAATAGTGCCTGGCAGAGTGAGCTCTGTGCAAACACAGGCAAAGAACGTTATCAGCAGAGTGAGAAAGGCGTTAATGGGATGGAGGCTGCAGGGAGGTGACAGTGGGAGCCAGGGAAGAGGGGCACAAGAAGGCTGCGCCACCCGAGCCTGGAGACTTGGGGTCGCAGCTCGCCACTTGAGAAGGCGTGAGCGGCTTACCTCCGGCGTCCGTGAGCACCTCCACGCGGCCGCTGAACATGGCCTTGAGCATCGTGTCCTGCCCCGTGAGGGTACGCAGTGTGGTGTAGTGCAGCGAACCGCCCACGTTCAACTTCACATACTTGCTGTTCGGGGTCAGCGGCTTCAGACTGTACGCGGCGGCCGAACCAGCCTCCAGTGCCGAGGGCTTAGGGACTTCCAGGGACGCGGCCGCGGCTGCCGCCGGGCCCGAAGCCTCGGCCGACATGCCGGGTGACAGCGACAGGCGGCCAGCCCAGGTTCCTTCCGTGCTCTCAGGCTAGAACCCACAGAACCCGGGACGCTGGCCAGCCCGCCACACCGTCCTCCGTACACGCCCACTCGCTGCCGCTACTCCGCCACTCTGGCCCTCCTCCCCGCAGCGTTCGCCTCACCCGGAAGCCGGCGCCGGGCAACTGCGCAGGCGCGCCTAGTCCACGCCCCCTCTGTTGACCTTAGGGCGTGGCCGCGCGTGCGGCGCATGCCCAGTGGGCTTGGAAGCGGGTAGGTTTGCTGTGTGGACCGCAGTTAGGGCGGCGGGGCAAGGTTCACCGACCTTGAGGAGGTTCCCATCCCCATGCGGGACGAGGAAAGCAATACTCCTGCCTGATGGGGGCCTCCGCTGTCAGAACTTGGTGGGCATGGAGGGAAACCTGGCTCGAAGAGAACAGGGTGTTGGGCAGCATCCACCTCCCTAAGCCCCACTCGCTGATGGACCTTGCTGAGGATGCAAACAGAGCAACCTGAATGGAAGGGGGCCTCTCCGGAGGCCGTGGGGAGACAGGCAAAGGGAAAAGCAGGTGCCAAGACCTCGCGCAGCAACGGGCTTGGCGTCTGGAACCGAGAGAATTTTCGGGGTGGTGGGAGCAGTTGAACAAAGATAACAGATTCACAGTTAGTATTACAATGGTTAGCCCCCAGCTGACCAGAGAGAAGAAATAGGGAACCCTGTGTTCCCTGAGCTGGTCTGCACCCAGGGTTTGCAGCTGGGGAGATAGGCGACCAAATGGTGTCCCTTCATGCAGGAAGATCAGCTGGAAGAAAATCGAAACGGGGCCAGAGTTCTGGGGCTTCAGCCTTGCCACCCCTTCACTGATGGGGGGATCCCAAGCAAGTCATTTGTCTCTCACGGGAAATAGGACGTGGGTAATTCCATCTGTAAAAATCCACCATTTTAGCTTTTGGGCTTCGATTTCCCTGCATGCTGCCAGATGTCAACTGCCCACCACAAAACTTCCCCAATGGATAGCTCATACTCCTACTTCCTCCTATAAAACGCCATGGCCTGCAAGAGAAGGGACTCCTTTAAGTTTGCTCAAGTAAACCTATCTTGGCTGTTGAGCTGACTCCTTAGCATTCCTGATTTGCTAACAAATTCCAACATTCTCTGGGCTTGATTGGTTCCTTTTCTGCATAAGAAGAGGTGCAAATATGGGCCCAGCATGATAGCGTAGTGGTTAAGGTCCTCACCTTGCACTCCCAAGATCCCATATTGGGGGCCGGTTCTAATCCCAGCAGCCCTGCTTCCCATTCAGCTCCCTGCTTGTGGCCTGGGAAAGCAGTCGAGGATGGCCCAAAGGTTTGGACCCTGCACCCGTGTGGGAGACCTGGAAAAAGTTCCTGGCTTCAGATTGGCTCGGCTCCAGCTGTTGCAGCTGCTTGGTTCCTTGCAGCTGCTTGGGGAGTGAACCATTGGATGGAAGATCTTCCTCTCTGTCTCTCCTCCTCTCTGTATATCTGAGTTTTCAATAAAAAAATAAATCTTAAAAAAAAAAGAAGAGATGCAAATTTAATTTTTAAAGTTAATATTTGGCTCAGTATTTTGTGTCTCGGCTGCTCCACTTCTTTTCCAGCTCCTTGCTTGTGGCCTAGGAAAGCAGTAAAGAATGGCCCAAAGCCCTGGGACTGTGCAACCATGTAGGAGACCCAGAAGAAGCTCCTGGCTCCTGGCTTCAGATTGGCTCAGTTCTGGCTGTTGCAGCCATTTGGGGAATGAACCAGCAGATGGAAGAGCCTCTCTGTCTCTCCTTCTCTCTGTGAATCTGCCTTTCCTATAGTGAAATGATTGATGGCTGCTTCTTCACCAAGCACAGTTTAGCCAGTGCTCATTCCTGTCTTTGATAACAATTGTTAAGATAATTGAAACAAATAATCCTGTCAGCCTCTAACCTAGAGCCAGCCCCCTTCCTGGAACTCCCTCAGACATCAAACCGCAAGCCCAAATTGTATACTAAGTTCTTGTCTCCATAATCTGTATTCAGATTCTTTTGTACGATGACAGGTGCGTGCTGGGTGGTTTCTGGCTGGAGGGCATTGAGAAGTGGAGAGTCCACAGGGGTTGGACCCCCATTGTGCAGAATCCCTTGTGTCTGTTGAGTGTGAAGTGCCATCCGCGCAACAGCCACGGCCACGAGGTGAGATATTCCGCATACGGCTCCAATGCTTTGGTTGAGTCCCTGAAACATTTAGTTTACCGTGTTTTGTTTTCCCCTCCTTAGGATCTGTGGTTTTTGAATCAGGTTATTACTTTTCCTTGGTGAAAATGTTTTCTGCAGGCCTGGCATGGTGGCCTAGCAGCTAAAGTTCTCGCCTTGAAAGCGCCAGGATCCCATATGGGCACTGGTTCTAATCCCAGCAGCTCCACTTCCCATCCAGCTCCCTGCTGTGGCCTGGGAAAGCAGTTGAGGACGGCCCAAAGCTTTGGGACCCTGCACCCGAGTGGGAGACCCAGAAAAAGCTCCTGATCCCTGGCTATGGATCAGTTCATCTCTGGCTTTTGCAGCCACTTGGGGAATGAACCAGTGGTTGTGGGTGGAAGATCTTTTTCACTGTAGATCTTTTTATACAAAAAAAGAGAGATTGATTTATTTAATTGAAAGTCTGAGTTACACAGAGAAAGGCAGAGAGGGAGAGACAGGAGAGACAAATGGTCACAACAGCCAGGGCTAGATCAGAACAAAAACCAGGACTCAGGACCTTCTTCTGGGTCTCCCACTTGGTGCCGGGGTCCAAGCATGTGTTCATCTGCTGCTGCTTGCCCAGGCCAGTAGTGGGAACTTGGCTAGGAAGTAGAACAGTTAGGTCTTGAACTGGCACCCATATGGAATGCTGGGATGGCAGATGGCAGTTTAATTCCCTATGCCGAAATACCAGCTCCTAAGCTAACTTTTAAATGCTATAGCTTCATTATGTTGCCAAATGCCTACATGATTGCTTACTTGCTTTTACTATTTACTTCTTCATTTAAAAAGCAGAGTGATAGGGCCCGGCGCGGTGGCGCAAGTGGTTAAGGGTCCTCGCCTTGCACGCCTGGGATCCCATGTGGGCGCCGGTTCTAATCCCAGCAGCCCCGCTTCCCTTCCAGCTCCCTGCCTGTGGCCAGGGAAAGCAGTCGAGGGCGGCCCAGAGCTTTGGGAACCTGCACCCGCGTGGGAGACCCGGAGGAGGCTCCTGGCATGGTATCGGCTCACTTGGGGAGTGAGTCATCGGACGGAAGATCTTCCTCTCTGTCTCTCCTCTCTGTATCCGCCTTTCCAATGAAAAAATAATAAAAATAAATCTTAAAAAAAAAAAGCAGAGTGATAGAGAGAGAGAGAAAAGAGAGAAATCTTCTATTGATTGACTCTCCACATAGTTGCAGTGGTTGCAGTTGGGCCAGGCTAAAGTTAAGAGCCAGGAATTCCTTCCTGGTCTCACACATGGGTAGCGGGTGCCCAAGTTAAGTCAGTCATCAGCCACTGCTTTCTGCCTGGGCCCAGGGAGCAGGATTGGCCATGGAGGAGCTGGGATGCCAGCAAGCAGGTGACATAGGATGCTTAGTTCACAACCATGATGGCAGCCTATCAAGCTGGCTGTGCAATCACACAGCTCTGTTGCACTGCCAAGTGCCTAAGGTATTTTTTTTTAATCAACTGAAATGTCACTGTGTGTGTGAGAGAGAGAGAAATATTTTAAGCCGTCTTCCCTTCCATGCAGAAGGGACATAATTTTAGGCTTTTCAAATGATAATTTCATATTCATCTGAAGTAGCTCTTTTTTTTTTCTTGGAAAGCTTTTAAGATTATCTAATCAGAAAGTTGTCCTGTTTTATGTGTACACTCTAGGGAAATCTCATCCAGTTAAATAGTCAGAAGTGTCTAGGAGAAATAAAAAGTGATTATAATGTGTTTCCTTTGTGGGCACCAAAAAGGGTCTTTATGTCATAGTCTTTGTTATTCTAGGAACAAGATAAGGCCTTAGAACTAAGACAGAAGAAACCCTTTTGGCATGATCTAGTTCTCTTAACATTTTGTTCCAGTTTTGTTTTATGTATTTGAAAGACAGAGTGGGATACAGAGGGAGCAATAGAGAGAAATTTTCTATTTTATATTTTTTAAAGGTTTATTCATTTAAAAGGCAGAGTTACAAGAGAGAGAATAAGAGGTAAAGTGAGAAAAAGATGTTCCATCCACTAGTTCACTCTGCAAATGGCTGCAACAGCTAGAGCTGGGCCAATCCAAAGCCAAACCCAAGAATTCTGTCACATGGGCGAAGGAGCCTAAGAATTTGAGCCATCTTCCATTGCTTCCCCAAGCCATGAACAGGGAGCTGGATCAGAAATCAAACAAAACTGGCACTAAAACTGGGACTAAAACTGGCATTCAAACGGTTGCTGGTGCTGCAGACAGAGGCCTAGCTGCTGCACTATGGTGCTGACCCCAAGATAGATTTTTCTGTCTGTTTGTTCACTTACCAACTGGTTACAATGGCATGGGTTGGACCAGGCTACAGCCAGAACGCAGGACCTCCATCTGGGCCCCCCACACGAATGACAGGATCCAAATACTTGAGCCAGGCCTGGCGGCGTGGCCTAGCGGCTAAAGTCCTCACCTTGAACATGCCCGGGATCCCATATGGGCGCCGGTTCTACTCCCACAGCTCCACTTCCCATCCAGCTCCCTGCTTGTGGCCTGGGAAAGCAGTTGAGGATGGCCCAAATCCTTGGGACCCTGCACCCATGTTGGATACCCGGAAGAAGTTCCTGGATCCTGGCTTCGGATCACCATAGCATTGGCCATTGCGTTCACTTGGGGAGTGAATCATCGGACAGAAGATCTTCTCCTCTCTGTATATCTGACTTTCCAATAAATATATAAATCTTAAAAAAAAAAACAACAACAAATACTTGAGCCATCCTCTGCTGCTTTCCCAGGCACGTTAGCAGGGAGTTGGATAACAAGTAATAAGGTGGATGTCTCTCCCTCTCTCCTTTGGAGAGGCACCCCACCTCCCGGCTTTCTCTTGGGAGGTGTCTTTCCCTCCCCTCTTCTTTCCCTGCTCACCTGGTCCCTTCGTAAATAAACTTTTCTGTCTGGAAAATAAAAAATAAGTAGTAAGGTGGGCCCAGGACACTAGCCTAGTGGCTAAAGTCCTCAC